CTATCCCACTTCTGATGTAAGAAAGTATACTATTTTTACAAACGATTTATAGTCTTTCCGATATCAATTGAAGAACTAAGACGTTGACGGTATGTACCAGGTTCGGTCGCTGACGCAGCAACTCGACATTGAAATATTTCTAAATACCCATATACAGGTCTGGTCGAACTACACGCGTAGGTGGTAAAAATGTATACGCCCAGTTGAAGAATACGAGCGCGGGCAAACGAAATCTAACACAACTGCAATGGGCTACTGGGCAATAAATCTCAGCTTTTGACAAGTAAATAACAAATTGCCCAGCAGTGCAGTGCAGCTATGCGGAATTTGGTGTGATTTAGGTAATTTTAATTTTTATAGGCACCTTCTATTAATCATTTATATTACAATTGCGAAAGGAACAAATAATATTATTACAACATGGAATTATGAAAACCTTTTAAAACGGAACAAAACGAAATTTACCATCAATATAATAAAATTGTTTGAGGACATAAATAATTAAAATATGTTGTTGGCCAAATGAACATATAATAGAAAATTTCTACACATTATATACAAATTATTATAATTTTTTACCTTTAGCAGAAAACTTTTTTAGGGACGCCTATGTTCAACTGACTTCGGAAAGATTATATCACCGGAGTACTTTTATAATATTCCGTGCCATGGAATGCATTTTAATAAGCTCCATGTACCATGGCTCCATAGCGGGATTGGGGATCCTAACGAATGCCCTTTACATTCCTTCTCTTCTCACAGATGTTTGTTTACATTAGTTGATGATGCAGAGATGTGTCGATACCCCAAACAAAATGAAATCTTTGGAAGGTTCCCAGTACCGATTCTTACAAAATTACACAAAATTTCTGTGCTGAAATGATAATATTTAGAATATTTCCACATCTAACGCAATAAAAATAGAACAGGCATCCAAGCATCCATCCATCAGCAAGCACCGTAACGTAGTGTATATTTATTACATCCAACGATTGCAAGATCATAACTTGTGACAGTCTTTGGTAGGTGTCGTTAATTTATAGTACAGGCTTCTCTCCTCTGCTTTTCTTAAAACCATCAATTAGTACTTTTCGTTCAAGTGAAAATCCTAAAACGCCTGCATTCCCGGACCGAGACAATTTGTTAGTTCAAATTTTTTACATGACCCGTTGAAGGTTTCAGACCGAGAGACACGAAAACGAAATCAAGGACCAAAAAGTTTCGCATAGCTTCTTCGCGCGATGGTAAAACATACACATTAAGCGCATACATCAGTGTCTGCATCCATTAAAAATATATTTATTGTGGCGGGACAGTCAGAGGTCTCAGTTTATTTTTTGAAGTTAAATTTAATACTCACGGTCTCACTAGTATTTGTATTTTTTATCTTCTGAAACGTGAGGCTCGCTTCTAGCGCCTCGTTTATTTTGTTTTCTGTTGGTTTACGGCGTAGGAAGTGCAGTTAAAAAATAAATAAGATACTGAAATTAATATGTCATTAATTGTGTCGAGTTTTGAATCTAGTGTTTCCAGGATAAACCATAACATTTTTTTTATTTCCGTCCTCGATAAAGACATGTGTCTCTTCAGTTTTCTTAAACAAGGGCCGATTTATACTCGTTTCGTAATAAACAATAAACACCACAAATTATACCTAACTCCGACATTTTTTATGAAGATTAATGTCAATTATAATTAAACTACTATTTCTCACTATTTTTTAAAGAACTACTGATTTGTGTATTGAATTTGGCATCATTTGTAGAGAAACACTGATCAAAAACCGTTTAAAATTGTGAAAAGAAAAATTAATTTGTTTAGTGGTTCCAAAATAGTACAAACTAGCACTTATACAGGGTGTGGCGTATATAATCTATAAAAATTAAACTATAGCTTCCTAATGATATTTGTAATAGAAAAGTCTTATACGAAAAAATTCAATTATGAGTCAAAATATTTTCTCTGAAACGGTCCTGTCCGTGTGCTGTACGATGAGTTACGTGCTGTAGATCAGCCGCATAAACAAATCGTCGTTGAAATATAGATACTATATACAGGGTGATTCAGAACTTATCCAAAAAAATTTGGGAATAGATGCGGCATGAGAAATGGAGTCATTATCGTAAAAAAAATTTTTGGAAAATCCTTAGTTTCCGAGAAAAAAATTATTGAAGTTATAGTACATTCAACGACTACATAGCTGAACAACTGTAGTCTCTAGCGTCATTTGCAATGCGCGTGGAGAGCCACGTGACCTCAGCGACTCCGAATACTGAAATCGTATTTTGCAATCGTCGTTGGAATGGTATTTACCTGTTATCTGTGGTGATTACAATATTTTTTTAGTAGTTAGTGTCAAAAATGGGTAGTTAGTGTCAAAAATAGTTTGCGTATATAGCAACTCGGAGTTGATGGATATCGTTTTAATTTATGGTGAAGCATTTGTGCTATGGTGAAGCAAGACAACATTTGTGTTAGTTCGTAGAAACTGAGTAAGACTGACCCAAATGTGTTTACACGTTGGTGGATTTTGAACAACTGTTGTAAAATCGGGTATGTCAAAAGATTTTATTATTTAAAAACACAAATTAATTGTATTAATTAATAAAGGCAAAAGCAGTTGAATTTGCCGATATAAAATAGGTGCGATAAAATTCTATTTACATATTTCTTTCCTTGCGAAAGTTTTTGTCCGTTTTTATCACAACCCCATGCCGGTCGCATTGTGCGAGGTCAGGTTTTACAGTGGACCAGTTTCCAGTGCCGTGCAGAAGTGTATTTTTAAATCATGTTCGAATTGCCCTTTTTGATTTTTTCTTTACAAAATTGTATTTATAAGGGTCCCCTGTACATCCCGAATTTTTTTTGGATAAGTTCTGAATCACCCTGTATACTATAGATACTATATATACTTCTCAATTTTTGGAGAATTTTTCAATGCAAAAGTACAATTTAAATAAACCTGATATTTTCTTATTATAATAATTAATAGTAATTACTATCTCAAATGTTACTGCAAGAGTTCGCAAACAAAACTACATCCGTAAGCATCTGTAGTTGTTAACTGCGTGCACTAAACAAACTCCATTAAAATATCGAACAAAATGAAATAAAACTTACCATTTCTAGAGAAAATGTTGAAATTGATCCCAATTAGCGTGGTTCCTAACAGGCATGGCACCGACGCATCCAATTTTGGCGAATATTTTCCCAGATTCCAGGTATTCCCCTAATTGCGTCAGCAGCTTCATGTATACGGGTTAGCAATTCTTCCACCGTAGCAATTGGAGTGACTTCAAGTGACTCCAAAGATAAAAGTCCATTGGAGTTAGATCGGGTGACCGAGGTGGCCACGGCACAGGACCAAAGCGGCGTCCGATCCATCGCTGAGGAAACATTTCATTCAAAAGTGTCGTTACTTTTCGAGTACTGTGTGGACTTATCTTAAAACATGCGTGCCCGAACTTGCAATGCCACATCGTCCAATAATTCAGGCAACCGGTTTTCTAAAAAGTCAGCATGTTGGTTCATTTAGTTCAAAGAAATAGGACCCACAAGTACATCGCCTATTATGCCAGTCCAAACATTTATCGAGAACAGATGTTGAAAATGAGTTTCCCTAATCGTGTGAGGATTTTCATCGGCCCATATGTGCATATTACAGAAATTCACTTCATCGCGGGTAAATGTGGCCTCATCTGTTACACAAACATTAGAAGGAAAGTCCACTTGATTGGCACATCGGCACATTGTCGTAAAAACCATCTGCAAAAACGCATTCGTTGATCACAATTCGGGGGTAAAATCTGTTGAACTAGTTGCAGGTGATAGGGGTGCAACAGCTGGCGCCTTAAGATGCGATATATGGTACGAGGTGAGGTTCCTACTTGCTGTGCGAGTCGTCGAGTACTAATTGTGGGGTCTTTGTCAAGATTTTCCAACATTGCATCTTCAACATTAAATTTCACTTGCTAACTACGTCCTTCTCCTCGAGGAATACCACTTTCCGTATCTCGCAGCCGCTGAACACACTGTAGGATTGTATTTGCACATGGGGAGTGACGTTGTGGCCATCATTCCCGGTACATCCTAGTCGCCGCGAGCACATTTTCTCCGGCTGCACCATACACCAACACCATATCGACACGTTGGGAAATAGTAACTACATTGTTTTTTCGGTTCATTGTAAAACTAGTTTGTGCACTAACTAAAAAATTAAGCAAAGTAAGAAATAGGAATCTCGTTTTTAATGTAATCGGGACGCTATTTTTATTTTTTACTTCTTTATAAAAATTACACTGTCCACTATCGTGGAATTACAAAATAAAAACTTGTCTGAAATCTTTCACTTTTGAACACTGATGGGTCAATAGACGATGTTTAATATTTAATAATTAAGTGAATAATGAATTCAATACAAATACAAAATCAGTTGACTGCACAAATTTTTTGACAATGTAGGTACCTAACCTTCTTTTGAATATTACTAGTATTAGATTATACCGACTTAAATTACAAGGGTGCATCTCGGGTCGCATAAAAACTTTTCCAAAGTTTTTAATAAATAACACTGGGTCGGCCTTCATTTTCGTTGAATAAATGAACTAAATTTAAAAAAAACGCGAAGATAGAACTTTTTCGTATAAGACTTTTCTATTACAAATATCATCAGGAAGCTGTAGTTTAAATTTTATAGATTATACACGCCATACGAACTCTATGACAAACTTTGATAGATGGTAGCTGGGTTAATTTCAAACATTTTTTCTTAAATGAGCATAGGCATTTTAAAAAATATAATTTCATATTTCAATCAAAGTAGTCTGATAAATAAAAATGAATCGGACCTATGTTCAGCTACCATTTGTCAAAGTTTGTCATAGAGCATGCAGAACACCCTGTATAAAAAACTCAGTTTCAATTTCCTTCTTGAAAAAACTTTTAACTAAAAATCTTCGATCGCGAGACAGTCTGTACATACTTTTTTCTAATTTTTTCAGGGAAGTGGAGACGGGCTCAGTCCCCATCGTCAACGTGGAAGGCGGAAGGACGATCGCCATCACCAACACAAAGGTAGGCCAGGCACTATAATTACCGGCCACTGATTCAGCTCCGAAATAGATCGGCAGCTGAATCACTGCAACCTGTTGATTTTTATAGTCGAGATAACCGGCATGAAACATGACGATTCTAAATTTACAATAGCACACTCATCCGTCTAATTATACAGCGGGATAGCTACGTGTAAACACCTCATTGCGGAAATAGGTTAATTTGTGCAATTATTTGATCGAGTTGATAGGTACGCGGGAAGTGATTTATGCTCATTTGAGATTTATTGCCGCTTTTAAGTCCGAGCCAACTTTAAAGGCCGAGGAACAAAAAGCTACGCCATTGTCACGTTGAACAGTTTTTGGTAAAAACAAGTCAATTTTTCGAAGATTTACCGTGGAATAACGATTCTGCCACAGAAGTATTATTTCATAAAAGTAACTAAATATAAGCGGAATTCGTTGTCATTCCTTACCTTATCTACAAATACTACAACCAAACTGAAAACGAAGCTGGCTAAGACAGAAACAATCGTGATTAAATATTAATAAAATTAAATGCCAAAAAAATGCAATATTGAGATAAATTGTTTTCTCAAAACACTGCTATTTTTACTTAATTTTTAAAGTATGAAATACCGGCAGGTACCTATCTTAGAACTTTGTAACATCTTTCTAATCTCTAACATCTCCAAGTCTTAATTTTTTACAAAAACATAATTATGATTTTTTATCATTTCTACCAAGATTTTTTTTAAATAAGTAACTTTTTCGTCAAAAAGATCAGTCAAGAAATTGTAAGCACACGTCATTGTTAACGTTTCAAAAATCTTTTTTGTTTCCGTTTTAAAAATTTTAATAATAACAGTCATTTTACTAAAGAGAAAAGTTACACAGGCCAACGAGCAAAAACGTTTTAGGTGTATTTACCTTATTCTTATAGTTTTGAGCGTACTGATTCCAAAAATAACATTAAAAACGCCACATCACCCATCATTCGTTCACATTTTAACATCTTTGATACATAATACATAATAATACAAATTCAACGAAATTTGCTGTTTCGGTTCATGTGAGCGTTTTCACCAAGACATAAAAGTTATAAAAAAACGCTGTCACGTCACGGACGCTGTAACACCAAAATGATGGGAGATTACAATTGGTCACTTTACCGAGAGAGTCAGCAAACAGCTCATAAGAGAAAAAGTCACATCAGGAGCTTTAAAGAAAAGAGGGAGAGAAAATATAAACCAATGGACACATAAATCCTTTAAAGAATCTAGTATTAAGAATGTATAATATACTTTTATGTTCAAATAAAGTTTTGTGTGCACGTTAAAAGTTTATTACTTTTAATTTTTATTCCATATTTAGAATACTTTGTCATCTCGAACTGGATTGAATTGTGACTAAACTGAGGGTGATACAAATTAACAGAGTTCAAATTCGGATTTACCATCCCAAAAACTATAAAAATCAGCTATAAAAAGCTTTTTTGAAGAGTTTTTTGCAGGCCTGTGTTACATGAAATGCAAACTTTCCATTGGGTGCTTTTATTATACAGGGTGTTTCAGTTCGAGTGAATCAAACTTTAACCACAAACAGAACTTAATAAATAATTCAGAATTGCCTTATAAAGCAAGGGTCTAAGTCTCACCGTTTTCACTGTACAAAATATACACATATAAATACACTGTACACTGTACAAAATGATATTATTTACGAAATCTATGGCATGCTTATAAAAAATTGATTCAAATTTGGTGTGGTGTTAACATTTACACATATGCATAATTTACTGTAAAATTTTATTCATTTTTAAGATTTGAAATATTAGTTAGTATATTTGTAAAAAAAATGGATGAATATTCAAGTCTTATCAGAAGAACGGTCTCCCATTCAACTGAGATTTTCGCTAAAACACCGATTTTCAACAAGTATACCTTTTTTATGCAGAATTGTCCACGGAATCTAAAAATTAATCCCAAATGATTATGAGATCATTAGCGTAGAAGTTGTGGTAAAAAAATCCCGCTTACTACCCATTCCTACGCCACTGACCTACAAAAATTTGTAAATTTTACAGTAAATTATGCACATTTCCGTTATCGATTAAACTTTCACCAGGGAATATTCCAAAAACTAGAAAATAAGTAAGGAAAAAATTTTCCTTAAAATTCTTTACTTTTTTGAAAATGCAATTGTTGAATCGTTTGTACAATAGTTCGTATTATAATGATTTCTCAGATTATTTACACATTGCATTGCCGTAAGTACGATATATGCAAGGGAGTATTTTGATACTCATCTACATCAGTATAATCACTAATAAATAATAAAAGTTTATTCCTTCTAAAAAATATTACAATTTTTGTAGGAAGAGGTTCTGCACTATGTATATGTAACAAAAAAAAAAGAAAAGAGAAAAGAAAAAAAACAGAATGGCTTACATACATAAAAAAAACAAATCGCCAGGAACAATATTTAAGCATGAATACATTATGCCAACTGCAAACATATTAAATTAAGAACAGTTCACTCATTTAGAACAAAAGAACGAAGTCTCAAAAAATCTCTCATAAAACCTGCCAACATTCTAGCATTACTCAGAGTTAAACCATCAAGCATAATGATAAACGAGTTAAGTGTTAAATTTCTGAGTTCTGGAGGTCTTAGACCGGTATAAAGAGGACACTCTATAAAAATATGCTCAATAGTTTCCAGTCTGTGTTGGTTGCATAATGTACATAATTCAGTACATCAGTATAATCACTATCAAACATATTTAGTTTGATATTTTAATATAAACTTTTATGAACAGCAATAGCGATAACTTTCCTTATAGTACCCGTTGTGATAATCTACCAATGACTGTTTAAAATATTGAATAATAGTGCATTATGTAGCCATCCAAATGTCATTTACAAAATAAAAATCGATAGATACAATTCAATAAATATTCATAAAACATTGATCATTTCTTACCAAAATTTATTCGATCGAAGATAAAACGTAAGATAGACGTATGAAAAATCTTTATTTCACTCATGCGACACCAAACCGACCATGCAATAAATAATGACTTAACTTTATACTTGTATCTTAAATAGCTACTAGTTTTATCTAACTAGAAATTAATAAGCAGTTTTTCTCGATTATACTACAAGACACAGTTATCGTTTCAAAAACTTGTGTTTTCGTTTTAAAAACTTTAGTAAAACAAAATTGCGTTCGGTGTGTGTTCAAATAATTTTATTTTTTCATTGGCGCATTCGCCAAAATATCGAAAAATTATTTCTTTACCCTAAACTTAATAATTATATATTATAATAATATATATAATTAATAATATTATTATAATATAATAAAATAAATTAATAATAATAATAAATAAATTATAAAATAATAATATATTATATAATGTACGTAATTCGGTAACATTTTTGAGGTAAATAAACGCTTTCAAAATTAATTAATAATAATGTCCAATTTCATTCCATTTCTGGTAGTACCTCTTTTCATGAAAAGTAAACATTATACATTTTATAAATTTACTTATAGGAAAACAAACAAAGATAATTTACCATTTTTTTGATAAAATTTTATTTTTCAACTGATATGCACTTACAACAACTGCTATTTAACGGCTTCATTAATTAAAAAAAAGATTTCGACTGGACTTCAATATCCTCTTTTAACTGATTATCGTCTGTCTGCAAAACGCCCCCCTGAGATGCTTCAAATTTAAGAATATTACAGAAGTCAAACGGAGGTAAATCGGGACTATAGGGCAGATGAATCTATGACGGTCGTACAGGATGTGCTGGACTTGACTATCCAAGCAGTTTTCGTAGTCACCGATTTTGTAACCCACTTTGCTGAAACTTTCATGCTGAATTTTCAAAACGTTTAGATATGGTTAATACTTCAGCAACAATCCAGAATAAAAAAGATCACTGAATATATTGTTTTTATGGGGTTTCTGCATAAACTTCAACAATTACACAATGAAAAAACAAATAAAATAAAATAGAGATATTTAAAGGCAGGTATCCATTTGTGTCAAATGCCCCATAACGTAACACCGAACATGTTACGTTACGTTACGTTACGTTACGTTAAAATTGTTGCATGGTACGTGTAACAAATTTGATGAATAAAAATATATAAAATATATGAGGCTGCAATTGCAGTAACAAATCGATTATTGCAATCAGGTTCATACTGCGAGTTTATGTTCCCGTGTCGTCTCGTAACCTTATTTTGCTACGTTACGGAATGAATGATACGACCAAAACCACACATGCTTTCGCAGCGAACCATGTCACCTTTTGCAACAGGCCATAACATGTTCGTTGTTACGTTACGGAGCATTGCCACAAGTGGATACCTGCTTTAATACTATTACGATCTAAATTCACTTTTTTGTATGTTCAAATTGCAATCAAATAAGTTGTTTTATAGAAAAGATGCCATAATATAGATTTGTCGTTACTAAGTATTTTTTCCCATTTATGAGATTATTAAGTAAAAACTGAGTATGCCACTGTGTCCTAAAAAAAAAGTAACTTAAAGAACTTCAAAACAATTTTTTTTGTATCTCTTATAAAAAGCAAGCTAGAGGGACCAAATTCCGAAAACTATCTTTTATACTATTTTTTTTAATTTAATTTTTTTTTATAAATCAAATGTTTGTACTATTATATTTGAAGGCATCGGCAACTAATAAAGCAAGTCGTTATTGAAAGCCATCCGTAAGTCTAACTAGTGCGGTTGACTAAATTTTTGGTATCCGTAAACAAGCCAACAAAAATAGAATCCTTACCGTAAAACATCAATTACTATTTTCCTCTAATTAGTTACCACCAAGACAGGGACATAAAGCGGGTATAAGATTACATCTTGTCAATTATTTTACTAAATATAAACCGCATAAGAACGGGCGGAATATGTATCTGAAACATAAATGTCTCAAATATCGTCAAATAAAAACGAAAAGGTGATTTTATGGACAGGTTTCATAGTAAAAGTGTCAATGGCATATCGAAAATAACTGATCCGAAATCTAACAGCAGGTACTAGAATTTTGGGAGAAAAAATTATAATAAACGATTTTATTTGCAGTGCTATAGACAAGTTTAACAAATGATTCATATAAATAAATATATACCTGCAAAATGTCAGAGATTAGCGCTCATACTCAACCAAAAAAAATTGAATATTTAACTAAAATTATCTAAATTTAACAAATACACACATTTTAAATCATTCAAACAAAAAATATGAAATTTATTAATAAACAATAATAAATACTGCTGCCAAAAGAAGGTTATACAAACTGGTAAAAAACGGCGGTATGAATATAATTTAAAAAAATTTATATTTATGAAAATATTATTTTTATTTTTTTTTTCATTTTAGCTTTAAATATGTGTAATTTATTATTAGACATCGGAATGTATGGTCAAACCGTGTGCCGCTCTATACTCAGAATACACAATGCTAACGACTGCAACAAAAAACACCTGCCTTACACAACCGAGCAAACGTCAAACTTACTCACAACGCACAAACGGCAATGAAATTCATGGCCATCTCTCAACAAAAGAACTAACCATCACCCAACCTTCACCGATACGCCAGGCCGACAAAGCAGGCATTAGGACGCCGCGTACGTATCGAATAAATTGATCGATGCGAAGCTTCATATCAGAGGCAGACATGTATTTGTTATTGTATTCTGTTGGCCCCACAGAGCCTAATCCGAGAACAATAACGGCAGCTCCCAAGGTTTCTAGCTAAGGCTAAGAATAGTACTTTAAAATCATATAAACCTCTTCATTTAATCTCAAGGAAGTGTTATAATTAGAGCTAGATATTTTGTGATGAATTGATTGTAATTAAGCTGAACTAATTATTTTTAGAAAGAACTTTAGCAGAACGTCGATCACATGAACATCATTTTATATTTAGCAAAATTAATATATACAGGGTGTCCGGAAAGGTCATGTCATAAATGAAAGGGTGTATATGAGAGCTCAAAATAATTGTAGTACTTCATAAAAAAAATTTTCCTATCGGGCTTCGTTGTGGAATTATTGGCCTTCAAAGAAAGAAGTTTGAAAAACAAATTCCAATTATAGCTTCCAAGTCGTTATCATGACAACAATGAAATTTGGCCAAATGTAGTAAATCTTGGTAATGTTCTTTTCTAAGTTTAAACGGATATTCAATACACCTCTGCTGTACTCAAAATAACATGATGTCAGCGTATGTAATTATGCGATTTAACAATTCTTCCCTATTATTTATAGAAGTTTGATAAACAAGACTTTTAAGGCCCAAAGAAAAAAATCGAGATAATTAAGATCGGGAGACCGAGGCAGCCACGGAAAAGGACTACGATCTATCGGGAAATGTGGTATTTAAATAAGCCCTTACTGACCTGTTAAAATGGGGTGGTACACCATCGGACATAAGCCGCATGTTATTTCAAATATTTACGGGGACGTCCCAATAACGGGATTACAGTAAATGTAGGTATTTATCATCATCAATGATATGTGGTCCCACTAAGTAGTTTCCATTCAAACATTAACGATAAATTTTTGTTGGTGTTTTGTCTGAATAATAGCATGGGGGTTTTCGTCACTTCAAATATGCAAATTCTATTTGGAAAGCGGTTGGCGTAAATCCGAACAGCTTCAGAAGAATTACATTCGTACATTAGATGAATATCTGCAAATTCTTCGTAGCTAAAATCCTCCATGATATTGAATCATCAAATGGTGTCAAAATGATTTATGACAAAAATCTAACTGCTAATTATACATACTTATTTCCAAGATTTTTGCAAAAATGTTGATATCGCATTTTTGATCAATTTAAATAGATAATTTTGTTTGCTTCTGTATAATCCAGGCATACTGTATATCGGTTTAAACTTAAAAATGAACATTATGTTACTTTAATTGCCTAAATTTCATTGTTGTCATGGCAATGACTTAGTTATAATTGGAATTTGTTTTCAAACTTCTTTCTTTGAAGGCGAATAACTCCACAAAGAAGCCTGATAGGAAAAAATCTTTTATGAAATACTACAACTATTTTGAGCTCCCCTGAATACCCCTTCATTTTTGACATGACCTTTCCGGACAAACTGTATACTTAAAAGAGAGTTTGCCATTTCTGCAAAAGAGTAATGCAACTGAGTATTATCAACATGTAAGACATGACATTTTAAAATTAAGTAGGTATACAGAATAAAGGACCTAAAATGGGTCCCCGTAAAACTTCACAATAAGCCACATAACAACATAAACATTTACATGTTTATGTTGTCATGAACATTTACAATTTGCGTGACTTGAAATTTTCTGCCAATGTCTTTCTACCTCGGGTGTCGAATGCGGTTAATTCCATGAAAGTGGCGCAGAGGTCTTCTTGGAAGTTTATCTCAACAAATATCGTAAGATAATTTACAATTAAGGAAAATGGTTTGTGGTTAAAGCCAATATATTGCAATACTGCTTTACTATACTCCGATAAAACTAAGGTAGTTAACTTACTATTATCAGTGGTTTTTACAATGTTATTTATTACTTGTAAAACTGTTGTAGAACAACTCTAATTTAGACAAAATCCTGATTTATGTTTAAGTAATATTTCAAATTTGATATTTGTTTACTGAAGATTTTTAAAATAATTTTGATAATGTAGAAAGAATTGTAAGGCCAGTAAGTAACATCATTTACTTTAAGTAATGGTACATTAGCAATTTTGCACAGATTTGGATAAACACTCTTCAAAACACAAATTATTTATATGCATAAAATAAACGCAAACTAATTCCATCCGAACCTATGGCGGTTGAACTAATAGAAAGATTTGAATAGATGTTTGATATTTGATAGTTTAGGAAATATTTTTGAATTTATTTGAATTAACTTAATTAATACATTTAAAATAAAGTATAAATAAGGCATTCTGAATATCCAGCATATTCAGACAGGATACATTCCAATCCAAATGCAGTCAAGTTAAACTGTAAACATCATTACTTTAAATGATTTCTAAGAGAAAAAGATGTGGAATGTCTTCCAGAAATAAGCATCGCATTTTCTCGGCCAACTTTGAAATAACAGCAAACATATCGACCTGTCGACATTTGCAACAAAGAAACAACTATCCGCAACACCTGCATATCTCCCCGAACCTAAATATCTCATCGCTGCGTTTTCCACAAAATATAAATTGGAATAAATAAAACATCAAATTCCATTACAAATCTAAATTGCTCGGAACATAACCTGCCAGCCAGGGCAGGGGAGCGGCGCGTTATTGCCGGCGATCTAATTCGAATTCATACCCGCTTTATATTTATTTGACGTATTGCGTGCAGTCCTTTGATCTAATTCCGTCCTCTCTGCTTGCAGGTACCTGAACAGAATGCGGGAGACAGCCGGGAGCGAGTCAGGAGATTTACCTTCGACTACTGCTTCCAGGAGGACTCCACCCAGGACCATGTACGCATCAAGTGATTTAATACGTAATATCTATTTTCCCGGCCGGCGTCGCGCTACAATGTAAACACGCGATTTGTACGGCTGCCCGGCGTGTTTTTTGGTCCGTTTGTTGTCAAATCATTCGGCTACAAACGTTACACATGCATGGAAGCCGTGTACTTCTCGAATGCCAGCAAATTAATGCGCTATTTGCCGGGACTGGTCGCTGGCCCCACGTGCGCTGAATGTTTTGACTTTGTCAATTAAATATTCGAAACTTCCTGGCGAAATCCGCTTTTAGAACTGAATTTTCACTAAATTGGAAGAGGCAAATTGTGATCCCTTGTTTCAGTACATTTTTTTTTTGTTTTGTATGTGTTGCTCGTCCACAGATAAAACGATTTAACTTGATGATGTTTTACTAATTTACAAAATTTGATTTTGAAATAGTTAAACTAAGCCAATCTCGTCATAGTTTCATTTTTTGTATGGCTTTATTTGAATCGGAAGGTTGTAGTACAAGACAATTTAATCAGTCCTGGTAACCTTTTGCACAAAAGAGAATTTTTGTTCTCATTTACAGAGGAATGCGTATTGTTTATACCAAAACTGAGCCACTTTTCATGGATATGTCAGTAATTTTAATAACTCAAAGCTTAATCGGAACTACACTACTGGAAAAAATTAAAGGGACAAAACATTTTCATGAATTATTTAGTGATTTTCGAAAGGCTATATCTTGAGCTACGGTTATTGAGCGAAATAATTTTCCAACATTTTTTTATTTTTTTTAGGCCTGTCCACGGACACAGGGAGTTTTTTTCAAACTCGATCAATACAGAGATCAGTTAGCTTATTTATTCAGCATGGAGATGTTTTCTTTAGGTATTTCTTTTGATTGCTCGATAATAGTAGCTCAAAATATTTTTTAGTCTAAAAATTTTTGAACTAGAGCCTTAGAGCTTCAAAACTCGTCTTGGCTTATTTCGATACCATCATTTTTCGCGAAGATACAGCCTTTCGAAAATCACTAAAATTTTTATGAAAATTTTTTGTTCCTTTAATTTTTTCCAGTAGTATATAAAATAAGATAACTTAGCTTTAAGTTTTTGCAATGCCTTTTCAATTTCGTACATACAAAGTGACTACAACAATATTTTCCTTTTTTCGTATTAATTTCAGAGAAATTTCCTTGGTTCAACAGTATTGCTTTATATCTTACCCCAATATATGATTTGTGCTCTAGAAATGTGTGCCTTTATATTTATTCCTGTTCGTCATCTCATCGGTTTTAAAAATATCAACTCTGAGGAGATTTGAAAGAATCTTCTGAAAAAAAATACCTGGAAACTCAAGGTATTAAAGTCATGGCAACTGATTCTAGAATCATCTGACTACTGAAAAAGTTTTTCAAAAATTTTCTTCTTCATATAATGCCGTATCATTTTTTCTTTCATTATCCAGATTTTCCAGCGTTGTTCAAATTCTTGTTTAGTCTTCTGTCAACCAATTCCTGAATCATCTGACTATTATTTATTTATATATTTTTGTACCTTGAACCTCTCAAAAAGTTTTAAAAACAGTTTCTTTTTCATATAACGGTTTTTTTTTCTAGATTTTCGAACGTTGTTTAGATTATCACTCAATATCCTTTAAATCCACTTAATTTATTTTATTTTATTTTAGACAACAAACAATTAGGTTACAAGGACATAAATATACATTTGTGGTTAAAAAATATATAAAGTACAAGCCGACATAAATAGGTTTGCGTCTGAGACAGCTCCGCGTACAAATGAGCACTGGACATGGCAAGAGAAATGCTTCTATCCCAAATTGCTACGCCTTACTAGCCGAATGCGTTCTTTCTCAATTTCGCGCAGCTCTACGAAATGAATATCATTATTTTACGTTTCTCTAAATTGAAAGGTAATATTTTATAAATATCAGTTATAAAATCCAACATCAAGATATACGTAACAGTAGATAAGCATCGATATTATGAATTTATTTGACAAACCATTAATAAAAAATAAATAAAACGGTGGCCCTAGATTTGGACCTTGTTGTACACCGAAAAAATGAAAAATAAACTTTATTTCCATTTCTAAAATTTTGAATATGTAGTGAAATTAACCATGACTTATTTTCAGATATTCGAAGAAATAGAAAAAGTAATAGGCCAATCAATAAAAAGGAGATTCCATTCTTGCGTTCTAGCCTACGGACAAAGTTTCTCAGGCAAGACCCATACTATGATGGGGTTTCCACATGATCCCGGACTGACTCCAAAGTTATGTCACCGAGTGTTTAGTTACCTGCAGGAAACAGCTGTGGGCGATGAAGTTTTGGATCTCAAAGTCTCAGTTAGGTAAAAATTATTGGTTCTACACTCCAGTGCCAAAATAGTAGGCAGTGACACATCTCAACATGTAGATTCGTGCGACGGGTAAGGCGTGCGAGGAATGGGATTCCATGGGCGTATCATTTTAAAGGGTTCCGAAAATTCTTAAAGTTTAGAAATTAGATCCTTGTAAAACCAGTCTACTAATATATATTTATGTCTTGTCCTTGTATGTCTTTATCTATGTTTCGTAGAAATAATTCTTTGTTTTCGATGTACGGTACTCTATTATATCATTAAATACTCCCTTCGGCATAAGTCGTATTATCATATCACTAATACCCACGTATCTAATATATTTTTTACATTATCATTTTTTGCTGTGCAATCTTTGTAGTTGAAAACTATAGTCTGTTTTGAAATGAAAGAGAGTAATAAAAGCTTATTATGTATGCAAATCGTAAATAAATGTAGTACTGGTGCTTATATTCAATATTTTTATATTATGTATTATCGGTATAGGATGAGGTGTACTTTTAAAAAAACTTTGTGCGATCGGACTGTACTAAACTGTAGCAGGTAGCTAAAATTTAATCCCCGACAATCCGTCTTTGTCTATGCCGCTTCAATTTCTCGGTCCATTTCTCTTATAAGTAAACAATATAAAAACAGCATTTCAAAACATGAGGCTACTTTAAGCATCATAACCGGGTTAAGAGGGTTTTTAGTAATTCAAATAAAATTATTCAATATTATTATCAAAATATTTATTTAAATTTAATGAATAGACTTTTATTCCACACAAAAATATATGTATTTTGAAAATTCAAATTATGGTGAGTAAATGTAGTGTTGTATAAATGTACAATAAAGAAAATAAAAAAGTAGGTATATTAAAATTCATCCTCTGAATATTCTGATGAATTATCTTCGTCTCCTAGATTGATAACGATAGGTTCCACAGTAACGTCAATTAAATTATCGAGTTCCCACATTTTCTCCTCTTCTTTTTGTACATGATGTATACATCTTTGCCAGTTATCTGCAGTTACTCGTTCCAAGGAATTTTTTAACAAAATTTTCACGTCACTTAATTTAAACGTCGTATTATTTCGCGCTACATCTCCTTTTACCTGCGCCCAGACTAATTCGATTGGGTTAAGTTCACAGTGATAAGGTGGTAACCGTAGTACCGTTATTTGGCGATTTGTTGCCATTTCATCGATAACATATTTTTTCTGATCTTTATTAAGATTGACAAGTGTCAAAAGTTCCTTTTTCACCATATTTGTTTCAAAAGAAATGTTTTTTCCGGATAACCATTGAATTATATCGGCTTTCCTCCAAGCAGTCGTAGGCGTCCGCTCGGTCTGCCGTGAATGGTAACTGGCATTATCCATGACAATTACAGACCCCGGAGGAATAAGATCCAACATCTGTGTAAAATACTCTTCGAAAACATCTGCGTTCATGTCTTCGTGATAGTCACCTGTATTTTTAGATTCAAATAAAAGTAAACCGCCATCTACAAAACCACTGGCACTACCTATATGTGTCACTATTAATCTTCGCCCTTTACCTGAAGGTGCCTTGAACCCTGTTGAAAGTCCATCCAAAAATGCTTGTCGAAAACTTTTTACATTTTTATCTTGCCATACTTTTGTTACAGTATATCCCTCGTTGACCCAAGTTTCGTCTAGATAATAAATATTCCTCCCTTCGTCACGGAATTTTCTAATTGATCTTAAGTAGGATCTTCGCCAACAAATAATTTCATCTTTATCGATAAGAACTGACTTCCTGTTCTGCTTTTCCCAGCAAAAATTCAACTCTCGTAAGACGGCCCATAATTTGCTTCTACTGATTTTTGGCAAATCGTTGTCCTCTGAAAGTTCACTTAAAATTTTGTTTAGCGTTGGTATTTCTTTTTTAAAATAAAATGAGTGTACTTTTCTGCGAATGACATTTTTGAAGAAATCATCTATAACGACTTTTGACCTCCCTGTAGATGATTTTGGGGGATTTACAGTATCTTGTTCATTTTTTGTTTCCTTTAAAAGTCTGTAGATAGTCGATTTTCCAATCCCTGTCATTTTTGTTAGCATTAGTGTTACCCGATAATTACCTGAAACGAAATATTACCACGCCCATGGCCGGTTCTTATCTCGGGGTTTTATTACTCTCTTTCATTTCCAAACAGACTATAACTGAAAATAATGGCAGAAAGCCCATATATTTGCAGAAGGTTAGTTTCATTTAAAAAATATTTACTTCATTTACAGAGACAAAGGAACTATTTTAAGTGCCCGTCCAAGTCAATATTTATGTGTTTAATGTTTATACGTTTCATCCACATGAACACAGCCCCGGCTTATCTTGGACGAACACAAGTTGTGTTCACACATGCAAGGACGTCCGGAAATTTAGATTGTTTATCGACCTAGGCACGGCCATTCGTCGGTCCTCACCTCTGGCAAGGCGAAAACAATTACCCCCAAACTGCCAAAGTTTTATTTAAGTACTCGCAAAAATTAGGGCCGGGTTTATAACTTTGCGCGGTTAAATTGTAGCTCGGATGTCTGCCGATCGTTTGAAAAGGTCGAGAATTCGTATCAGGGCGAATCGGTTTCCTTCTACAACGGCTTAAGGGGAGCGTATCAGCGGCGCAAAATACAGAAAAACTTATGTAACTTCAAAGCTTCAAAGAAATTTTAAATGCCACTGATTCCGTAAAACTGATGATTTGATATTTAAAAAGATCATTGAAAATTCACAAAAATGACATTTAAATGCAATTATGTTAAATTATCTTCAGCTCTCTATTAGTACATATTTATAATTACATCGATATAATCAGAGAAAAACTGTTCATTGTCATAGATTACATCTAGTTCCTTAACATTATGACAACGCGCCAATAATATTCATTCAAGGATGTAATTAAATATTTGTGTTTTTTGTAAATAAATGAGCAACCATCTAACTACATGATCTACCAGTTTTTTCAGTATTAAACAATCCTCCAAATTAGTTACATCCAAAAATAGCTTCAAGTTACCAGGAAAAAATAGATGACTACATTTTAGAGACAAAGATAAATCGTTAATAAATAGAGTAAAAAGAAGTGGCCCTAAATTCGATCCTTGAGGTAATACGACTATTAAGGGAGAAAAAAGAGAAAAAAAAATTATATCACAGGAATGCTTTTATATAAACTAATAAATAAGTTTAATATCGTCGAGGACATGTGCTTTGAAATATTAGCCATCGGCTTATTTATACATTAGAAATAGTAGTTTTTGGTGAACAAATAAATTATAGAAATTGTTCGAAATGCCGACGTCTTAATTGTTTTTCTAACTGTCTACACAGGATGGTACGAAATTGTATGTCGCAAAGCATACTACAATAATAAGTATGGAAAAGTATGAACAGTTTCTTATTAAAATATAGCCAGTCGGGCCTATTTATGAAGTACGACCCTGCAAAAGTCTAAAATAAAATTCCGAAGAATTTTGGAACAAAACTGTAATACTTACAGGTGTTATGCAAGTCGATTCCGGACATACTTCAGTGATATTGTGGAAAAAAGGAAATAACCACTGAGGTAGATATGCAATTTTTATTCATAAAAAAATATAAATCACATTGTTCAATTTCTTTTAAATAAGTCTATCTACAAAAAAAAATATTTCTTGTGCATTTTAGGAGGTTAGTACGAAACAATTGCATTTATCGATGTTTCAGCACAATTAGTAGGCTTTGAATATTAGATGACATATTGTTTGAAATAAAGGACAAGTAAGCTATTTTTATAAATTTTCTATTCCAAATCCAGCTTAAAAAACATTTTCCTCAGTTTGACACTTCATCTAAAAATTTATGAGACACTTTATAGATAAAAAACTGTTACTTAGACAACATTTACAAAGTGATTAATAAAACTTCGACTTAAATTTTTTTGTTTAGAAATACAACACTGCTACCACCATGTTTACTAATTATTTTACTTACCACTAGGCACTAAATTATGTCCTGAATACACTTGCACTGCGTCTGCAAGTTTGAAGTTTTTATTTGAATTTCGGAGCTCTTTATTATCAAATTTTGGAAATGACCATAAAATTTGATGAAACTATAAACATGTCTAGGCATAGGGTACACACACTGTTTTCTATAAAAATGTAACTTTTCTTGTTAATGTCTTCAAAATCATAAGGAAATAGAACAAATATTTCAAAAAGTATTTGTTAAAATCGGAACAGCCATGAAATTGCAAATAATTTCGAAGAAAGTGCGGAAACTGTTACTTTACCCCTTTGTAATCAGCTTTTTTGGCATTTCCTGTTACTAACCATTAACAAATAATTATCCACTTTAAAACAAATGAACCTGTAGGCTACATGGTTATCGGCCAGTATCGCTGCCAAATTTAAGAGCAAAATAACGTACAATTTCCTCGAGCAGCCATTTCCTATCACCATTCGCATTTACCCAACTTTTAATAGCGCTATAGAAGTAATTGTTGAATTTCCTTCCGACGTTTCATACCTCAGTTGGCGTTGGTATTGTGGGTGATCACGATCGCGATTCCCTTGCACACGCGAAATGTCTCAATCTGTGTTTGTGTTTTGTTTGGCGTTCTAGCGGACTACTGCGATTTAAGTTAACTAATATACATTTATTTATGTATTGTCGTGTGTGAATTTGTTGTGTATTGAAAAAAAATGTTATATTTGTGAAGATTAAATTTACGCCGTAAAAAGGTCGTGTAATCTTAGTTATAAGATTAGTTTAACAAAGCAGAGGTAAAATACTTTAATAAAGAAATATTTAAATTTAAACTTACACTGTGTTTATTTTATTATGCAAATATTAAAAGTTAAAATTTTGATTAAAAGTAAATTTACAGCAGGTATTGCCTAAAAAATTATTTCATAAGAAAAATATATTAGGGTCCATTATCACTTAAACAATATTACATGAAAATAATCTATAATTTTTTTATGCACCCTGTAGATACTTATTGCATAAATAATTAAATATTAATTTAGTTGGGAAACAATGGAAAGCGAATGAAATTCTTAGCATTCTTTGACTAGTTTCTATTTTCTTATTTTTTTGTTCTTATATCCAATAACCTCCTTAAAATAGTAACTTAGTAGTTGAAAATTTATAGTTTAACACCAAAAAAATAATAATTTTCTTTTATTTCAGCTACTTGGAAATCTACAACGAAAAAGTAAGAGACTTGCTTAGAAAAGAGGACACTGAAGGAACTACTTTTAAAAGAACTCAACCACTGAAAGTAAGAGAACATCCGAAAAAGGGTCCATACGTTCAAGGTAAATATGTTTCTGTTTATCAGTAATATTCACATTGTATGTAAATTAATTTATATACACAAATTTTTAATATTAAGTACACAATTTTATAAATTTAAATATACATGCTGGATCATTCCTATGCTGAATCATATTTTGATAGCGTGTAAAACTTGTTAAAATAAATATTTTTTCACATTATTTTTCAAAATATTTTAAAATAAAAGAAACTTACCATATTAATTTCGAAAACAACATTTCTGAACTGTCTCGAACAGAAAGGTTCAAAATGGGCGCCAGAATGATCCACACAATGTTGGGTGTGGCGTATGCGTAGGGATAAAAGTTTTCCTCTAATTGGATTAGCGGTCTGTTCCATGCGGACAATAATTAGTTGTTTTCTTGTGTTAGTTGAGGATTTAAAAACTAAATTTCTCATCCAACTCCATAAAAAGAAATCACAAGGGTTGAGATCTGGTGATCCGAATGGCCACGTAACTGGCCATTCACGACTTCTTACGGAAAAAAATATCTAAGAACGCTTGAAATGGATGGCACCCCTTTTTATAACAACCATGTATTTTCGTTGACGTTCAGAAGCACATCTTCTAGAAGACTCGTACGATGAATGAAATATCCCAGGTAGCTTTCACCCGTTAAACGATTTGGCAAGATAAAAGGCTTAACAAAAATACTGTTAACAATAGCTGCCCATACACATTTACTGAAAATCTATCTTGAACAGTTGCTTGTTTATAAGAATGGAGATTATCGGCCAACTAAACACGAGTACTGGGAATGCTGCTACTCCCATTTCGGTAAGTGCAGCTTCACAACCAAAATGTTTCATTCATTCCATGTTGCTGTAAGAGCCACTGCAAAATTAAATTCTATTGGGGTGGTACTGTCGCTGTAAAAATTGAACAAGTTGCACATGAAATGGGTACAACTGATCTTCCCGAAGAGTTTGAATAGTATTTTGATTACCAGTTATGTAAAAATAGAATTCGAAAACAATTGTCGTTTGAAGTAGTTCTCGATATTACTCAACATAGGAATCATCCTGTATAATAGTAGTTGAGGTATCTATATTTGTTTACACAATGAAAGAAATATAATTATGATTTATTTTTTATACAATCAAGACTACTGTGTCCGTAAACAAATATTTACAGTTACCCAATTGTTATCACTATCAGATTGTTTATGTGGTACAGGTATTGTTTTCAAATTCAGCAACTAATAGATTAAATAACTAGTTATTATTACTGTTACATAAGCTAACAATGCATAACATAAAATTACAACACAATATTTCAGCTGAGAAAGTAGTGTTATCCAAACATCTTTTCAATGAAATTGTAAGAAAATTCTCATACATCAAGTAGGTAACTGTTTACGCACACAATGCAAGTGTACAATTTACTTTATTTTGCATATCCCTAATGATTTAGGAAACGGTAATAAGATGGCAGAGCTTTTTTGATAAATATTAGCCCAACTGTGTCCAAATAATCAAAAGAAACGTTGCACCAAAAATATAATCTCAAATAATACAACATCCATAATTCCATATTTCATAAAGAATTTCCAGTTTTAAAAAATGATGAATTGATGAATTGATTAAAATGAATGACACCTTGCAAGAAAAATTGAAATTACAGACTATGAGTGTGTCATTTCTCAAGCAATCTTTAAACTATTCGCATTTGGATACCCTCCTAAAAACCTAAAATAAAATTGTACTCTATTAAAAAACAAAAGACAACTGGAAATAACCTTCCAGTTGGAAACCTCAGTTTCAAAAATTTGGGGGACTGCACTATTATAACAGCATAGAGATTAATTAAAAATATCAATGTACAATGTATAGCTTTTCAGGTTCATGTTTACACAACAAAATCGAGAATGTAGAACTGACATAAACGTAAATCAGTACCAAATATACCGAATTGTATAGGACAGGCATTATCTGATGACAATACTCAAAATAAGAAAAAAGTTTCTATAAACATGGGTTGATGGCAAATGTTTAATTTGATACAGGATGTTCAATTCCTCAAAATAATTTTTGACAAAAAGACAACTATGAACCACAATTATTCAGGGGAGTGAGTAAAAATGGAAAGATTTAGGTAAAATTTTGCGTCACCTCCCTTGATGTGACAGATCAGAACTTAAAAATTTGGACCATTTTGCACACAAAAAGGTGTTCACCTTTTTTCTTTAAAGTTACCTGTCTTTGAATATAAATTATTTAAATTTTGTTAATTGTTTACATAAAGAAAACAAAATTTGATATTATTTTTTTACTTGTTTATCTTTAGGTGTTTTGAATGTACAGGGTGTATTTAAATGAAGGAGCACAAACGTTTCTAGATAAACCTTCAGACCAAAATATAATAATTAGTCGCTTCGTCGTAAGTTACAGGGTGCTTATTTTTTTGAAAATCATTACAAATACGTAAATATTTCGAAAGATATTTGATTAACACTTGCAGATTAATAAAATTAAACTGGCGATTTAATAATTCACTCAATTTGTATGCAATAATATGGCGAGGACACAGGAAGACACTCGCTAAGAATCCAAAACTTCTGTACCAATGTGTTTTTTTTTATTTTAATGATTACAATGAATTTAAAATTATATTTACAACAAAAAAAGTATACAAATGTTTTTTTTGTGAAATTAAAGTTTTAGAATTATCTTCTATTTATTCAACTTTGTAGTAAGCCTATTTTAGACTGAAAAAATGGAAGATATAATTTCTAAGATATTTAGTAGCGTCGAACTTCTGGAATTCTTAAGGGTAACCCCAATTTCTCAGCCTCTGGTTGACACAAGTTTATGAAAATGAAATTAATTTTTACTATTACTTAGCTAATTGTAAGTCGCCAGTCTAAGATTTGTAGGTATATCTACCCATATCTCATTTTTTTTTCAATCATCAAAAAGGACCCCGCACAAACCTTATGGGAAACTCCGTTCGGTCAATTTTAATGAAATTTTGGGAATAGGTTGTTTTTGTTATGAGGAACAAAAGTCTTCATGGGCCCAAAGTTCGCTAATGGACAGTTTCCGAGATATTCGATGTTAAAAATTGATGATGCGAATGCGTGTCCAGCACGTGTTTAAATGCTTATTAGTCGTGTAAAAGCTCCATGAAGCTTAAACACTGTATAATACGTATATATTCGTCTAGATAGTGCGTATCCATTCGTTTGTGTGTGTGTGTGTGCGCGTGCGTGTGTGTGTGTATGTGTATACTTTTCATAAACAAATAAACAAAGAGGCTCGGAGTAATGCTATAGTAACACTTATATATTCACGTGCGATCTGGTCAGCACAGTTAGCCATTCTTCTCGATCAATTATATATTTTATTTGAGTTATTATAGCGTATGATTGTATCCAAAGTAACTCCAGAGTAACACCCAAGATAAAGTAGTCGAAACAACTTTTGGATACAGTTTCTCGTGTGTTTTTAAATCAGTATTTCAAAATATATATATTGAAAAATAGCGTGTTTTTAAATACACTACTTATTGTGTTAGAAAAAAATATTCTTCTTTATTTAACATCGTAGTTTAAATATCCAACTGTGAGTAATCTATCGATATCGATAGCAGAGAATATTTTATGTGAAGATATTAGAAATATTATACTATTATTTATAAGTACGTCAAATATTTAGAATGTTGAAAAATATCAGTTTCGTTGGACTTATTGTCAAATAGTTCTTAATCGATATTACTGTTCAATTACCATTCACTTGCAGTTTTTGCTGTGTTATACTCCAGATATTGCTTTGATAATTTTTTCACAGGTCTGGTGTGTTCATTTTGTAATTAGCAGTTGAACTTGTTGCAATATAAATGGCTTTCAGACTACAAATACAATGTTATAGTTGCGATCGGGCTTTCGCCCCGCGAAATATGGTAGATTTAAATAGAGTGGTAATGGTAAATGTAGATGTTTTTGGAGATATTGTTATAAATCGAGAAAATGACGCAGGTCTGCCTCCAGCAGTTTTTACACCCGAGACTTGAATATGCAATAATTGCTTCCAAACTATCCGTCGTGAAATTGAAATAGTAGATAGAGCAATTATTACATATTCGAGTATCAGGTGTAACAATTCCTAGAGGGAAACCTGCGTCATTTCGTCGATTTATAGCAATATCTCCAAAAAGATCTACATTTACCACTCTATTTATATGTACCATATCCCGATCGTAACTATAACGTTGTATTTGTAATCTGAAAGCCATTTATATTGCAACAAGCTGAACTGCTAATTATAAAATGAACACACCTATGAAAAAATTACCAAAGCAATATCAGGAGTATAACACCAAAAACTGCAAGTGAATGGTAATTGAACAGTAATATCAATTAAGAACTATTAGACAATAAGTCCAACGAAACTGATATTTTTCAACATTCGAAATATTTGAGGTACTCATAAATAAAAAATAATAGTATAATATTTCTAATATCTTCACATTAAAATATTCTCTGCTATCGATATCGATAGATTACTCACAGTTGGATATCTAAACTATGATGTTAAATAAAGAAGAATATTTTTTTCTAATAGAATAAGTATATTTAGAATCACCCTATTTTTCGATATATATTTTCAAATACTGATTTAAAAACACGCGAGAAACTGTATCCTAAAGTTTCGACTACTCTATCTTGGGTGTTACTTTGGATACAATCATTAGATTGTTTTCACACGCATTAGCACGCGCACGCACACGCACACACATACGAATGGATACGCTTTATCTAGACGAATATATACGTATTATACAATTTTTAAGCTTCATGGAGCTTTTGCGCGACTAATAAGCATATAAACACGTGCTTGACACGTATTCGCATTATCAACCTTTAACATCGAATATCTCGGAAACTGTCCATTAGCGAACTTTGGGCCCATGAAGACTTTTGTTCCTCATAGCAAAAACAACCTATTCCCAAAATTTCATTAAAATCGACCGAACGGAATTTCCCATAAGGTTTGTGCGGGGTCCTTTATTCCTCTGGCACCTACCAAAAACTTGACTTTTGCCTTCTAGGTTTATCAGAACACCCCGTCACAGACTGCGACGGCCTCTTGGAATGGCTGGAAATAGGCAACAGTCAGAGGAGTGTCGCGGCCACCCTGACTAACCCCAGGTCCAGTAGAAGTCATTCCGTGTTCTCCATCAGCTGCGACGGGGTCAAGCTGCACCTCATCGACCTCGCCGGCAGCGAAAGGGCTGGCAGCAGGGGTTACGGCACGTCGCAGTTCAGAGAGGGCGCCAACATCAATAAGAGCTTGGTGGCGCTGGGGAACGTCATATCTGCCTTAGGTGTGTGTCTTTGGAAATGAAGTATCTGGGATCTTATAAATAATTAAATACTTAGCTGGATATAAAGCATCAGTAATGAATTTCCATAAGAAAAAAAACATAACAATCCTGTTCGGTACAATCCAGTAAATTCAAAGAAATTTTTTTAATATTCTAACTGGTATCTCTGGTATTTGATGAGGGTAAACCCAAACTCGGTGTAAAAAATTTGTATACGTGAATACATAGAATGTTAAACAGAGGAAAAGGTATTTCAGCTTTAAGTGAGCTTTAAAATACACCAATTTCTATTCCAATCAATATGAGAAGCAATTATCGAACAGAAAAAAAATCGCTCTTTTAGCATATTCTTTTATTTATATTTCGAAAATACACCCCGAAGAATCAAAATTTTTTTTCAACGGCTTGTCCCTCAGAATAATGAAAACGGAGCGCGGGAAAACGCAGAGAAGCCATGTTGTGACGTCATACCACTTGTTAGCGGCTAGCCTATACAGGGTGATCCAGAACTTATCCAAAAAAAATTCTTGATGTACAGGGGACTCATACAGATACAATTTTGTAAAGAAAAAATCAAAAAGGGCAGTTCAAAAATTATTTAAAAATACACTTCTGTACGGCACTGGAAACTGGTCCACTGTAAAACCTGACCTCGCACAATGCGACCGGCATGGCGCTGTGATAAAAACGGACAAAAACTTTCGAATGGAAAGAAATACGTAAATAGAATTTTATCGCAATACAATTAATTTGTGTTTTTAAATAATAAAATCATTTGACATACCCGATGTTACAACAATTGTTCAAAATTTTGTCCACCGACGTGTAAACACATTTGGGTCCGTCTTACTCAGTTTCTATGAACTAACACAAATGCTGTCTTGTTAACACAAATGCTTCACCATAATACAAATGTTTTCTTGCTTCACCATAAACTACAACGATATCCGTCAACTCCGAGTTGTTATACACGCAAGCCATTTTTGACACTAACTACTAACAAACTATTGTAAACATCGGATTTCAGTGTTCTGAGTCGCTGAGGCCACGTGGCTCTCCACGCGTATTACGAATGACGCTAGAGACTACAGTTGTCCAGCTATGTAATGGTTGAAAGCACTACAACTTCAATAATTTTTTTCTCGGAAACTATAAGGATTTTACAAAAAATTTTTTTTTCAATATTGACTACATTTCTCATGCCGCATCTATTCCTAAAATTTTTTGGATAAGTTGTGAAGCACCCTGTATACTTTGCTAGATCTTACGTACGTCATAACTATGGAAGCAGATGAAAATAAATTTAAACGGTCAAACGTACCTAATTAAAAAAGCAAGTACAAGTTTTGATAAAGAAAAAAGATTGATTTTTGGAAATGTCTACTATAATTGCAAACCCAGGGGCAAGTCAGGGATAAAAGCCAATATGTAAATTGTCCAGGAGCGCATTTTTTTTAAATTAGTATTTTTTGTTGTCATATTTGACTAAATATAACATTTGTATCTGAGTTGAAGTGAAATTTTCTTATGAGTCATGATAACATGCCCAAAAAAATCGTTTATAATTTATTATGATACTCGTATTAGAAGGAAATTAGACGAAAAAAGGAGGAAACATCGACAAAGTTCCCTTCAAGCTGAATTTTTGCACAGATGTTCTTTGTGGTGTCCCAAGATATTGAAGGTCAATCAAAGTTTTTTGCAAGTATCTCTCGTTCTAGTTTTTGTCTCTTATAATAGTCGTTTCACCTAACGAATATACAAAATATCAGAACACCTTCAGAAAATTCATTCATTTACTTTCTGAACCTTATATTTTCCGTAACTTGGGCATAACATCTGACAAATCTCTTACTTTTAATGTATCTGTACATGTCAATATTATTATTTTCAGGGCCAGTAAAATCTATGGATTTATTGTTAGACATTCTCGTGAGTTTTCATCTGTCGATACTATAAGGATGTTATATTGTCATGTTATATCGAAGCTGGAATACTCAATCGTTTAGATGCCGAATTACAATAAACATATAAATTTAAATGATTTAGTATTTGTGCAACGTCGGTTTCTGAAATATTTATACTACGAAGATAAAGATACTTATCCTAAAATAGGTTTTCCTCATCAAAACCTTTTAGATAAATTCTCATTGCGCAGTTTGAACCTTCGAGCATATACTCCTAGAAGCAGCCATCAGTGCTGAAAAAGCGCGACTGGTGTGCGAGAGAGAAAGGAAAATAAAAGGACATGTTATCCCTCTCGCTCCGCGAGCTGGATTGGTTGGTGCGTGCTCCCCTCCATGTCAATGGCCGTCCTGTACTTAAGCCCCGACCAATCAGCTCGCGGAGCGAGAGAGATAGCACATTCTTTTATTCTCCTTTTTCTCTCGCACACCAGTCGTGCTTTCTCAGCACTGAAGGCTGTCTCTAGGAGTATATGCTCGAAGGTTTGAACTGAGGAGGTTGTGCAATTGTGTATATCAAATACTTTTATAAAAAATATTAAATAAGAGTGTCATTATTTCTGACATACTGTCGAGACTCCATTTTATTACACCTAGAGGTATATCTCGTTCGTTAATATGTAGTTTTTTATGTACAAACATATCAGACGAATTTTTCTCGGTATTCCTCAGTTTACATTATGTGCGATAATCACAACATTATTTATAATAATATTGATTTTTATACCTAATTACAGTGTTTTAAATATTAAATCGCATTTCAAAAGTTCTTTTATTTGCAGTAAATTGATCAATTTTTTACTTGTTATATTATCTTTGATTGAAAAAATAAAGTACGTAAATATATATCAGAGAGGTAAACTACATCAAAATGTCAAAATATCTGAAAAACTTCTGAATAGCTCCAAAATTTCCAAATACTCCAATTATATCAAAAACTTCAAGATTGTTAAAAATACATCCAAAGTGTATTTCAAAACCATTAAAAAAACCCTAAAATTACATCGAAATCCTTCGAAATATATACGCCTAAATATCCTGAAAAAGTCAAAATTCTTTTAAAAACCTTGAAATATTTCATAAACCTCAAAATTCGTCGAAAATACATCAACAAAAAACTTCAAAAACTTTAAAATACTTCGAAATACATCAAAACTTTAAAATACTTCGAAATACATCAAAAACTTTGAAATATCGCAAAATCCATTAAATATTTGCGAAATATCCTCTTCTAAAAATTGACCTTTGACTTCCGCCATTCACCTTTGACCTCCGTCATCCATCTCTGACCTTCAGCTATCGACCTTTGGCTTCTGCCTTTGACCGTGCGCAATTGACCTTATTTTTGACATTTAACGTTTCGATTTTGTTGATCTTCGAACTTAAAGTTTTTACCTATTTTAAATCACCATGAAGCTGTTTTGATTAATTTCGAGATATTTTCAAATATTTTGGATTTTGTAATTTTAAATATATTTTGACGTATTTTACAGCTTATTTAAGTATTTCGTAGGATTATTTTGAAGTTTTGAAGTATGTACAAAGTACCACGACAGTAGATAGATAAATTATTTCTTCCATTCAAATCCTCAATCCCCCCTCCCCACATTCGTCCCTCTAATAATGGCTCCTTTTTAAATTAGAAATTTTAAGTAGACATATTTTTTAAAATTTTATACACGTGATGCTTCAATAATGTGGCACTCAATTCTTTCGAATGCCAAATTACAAACTTTAAATTTCCGATATTCTTTTTCTCTGTAATCAAATGACAAATTAAAACAAACATTACCAGTTGAATCAAAAATCGAAATCTTTTACCACTTGACTATCTCATACATTCATATTACAAAGTTTAAAACTAAATATTTAATATTTTTCAACACCGTTTTCAAATAACAGATGTAATATACGGTACCAAAGCAATCTTTGTATAAAAATACCACGTCCTAATTTCATGGAATAGCCGTCAGCGTCAAACCGAAATACCTAAAAATGTTCTCTCTTCGCGTTCAGTGAACAATTATCGCTTTTTTAACGTTTTCCCATAGATTTTTTAATGAACTGTTCCATCACATTCCTCGCATCACACGGCGTGGTGATTGTGATTCTAATTTTGGACGGATAAGTGCATTTCAGTAATGCATTTTTCATTCTAATTCCCACTTGTCGCCCGTTTCAGCCGAACAGACAGCCAAGCAGACCAAGGGTCTACGCAGGAAGTTCGTCCCATACAGGGACTCCGTCCTGACATGGCTGTTGAAGGACACCCTGGGCGGAAATTCCAACACCGTGATGGTGGCCAGTAAGTATTTTGAAGTCGAATAAGTCTCAGAAAAATGTACGTGACTGAACGAATATTGCTACGAACTAATTTCTTATGGCTTCATGAGAGTTTTGAAATAGAAAAATTTTGCGAAATATATACTACATTTTATTTTGGTAAAACATACCAGATACCAAATATATATACAGTGTGTCCCACTTAAAATTGAACGTTCCATAGCTGCCTTATGAGACGCTTTAGAAAAAATATTGTTAAAAATTTGCTTCTATTTCTATTGTTCATCCGTGTAGAATATTTTCGACTATACAGGGTGGGTCATTAGTGTGAGAAAGTAAAATAACTCCCTTGTTACTCATAATACAGTTGTACAGAATCAAAAAACCTAAAAACCGATGAGTTAAAATGGGACACGCCAAATATTACATTTTTTAAATGGAACACCCTGTATATTTTTAAACATATGGATTTCCGAAAAAATTCTGTATAGGTATGGCAATATGACCAGGTTATCATTGTAGTGCGGGGCTGCCAAATTATGTAGAAAATTCTTTGAATTTTGGGAAAAACATGACCTCGAAGAAGTTGTATTAACTTTCAGCTAACACTTGGAACAAAATAATTAGAAAGAGTTATAGGCAAATATTAGACAAAGGCATTTTTTATAATACAATCATTTTTAGAAAATTTAAACTTTAAACTAAACACCCTGTATTTTATTGTTCTTATTTACATATCGGTCCACTTCAACTTTTATTAAGCATGTTCTATATCTAATTGTAAAATTGTTAATTTTGAGATATACTTAGCAACATTTCTGAAAGAACTTAATTTTTATTATTTTACAGAATACTACAAATAAATATTAACTAATAAAATTAACTCAAAATGAAATGATAAATTATGAACTGACAAGAAGACACGATGTGACAGTTTTTTCCAAGGCCATTTCATGCGACCGAAAATAATAAAAATTAGGTTTTTCCAGAAATGCTGCTATATCTTAAAAACTAACAACTTTAGGTGTAGAACATACTTAATAAAAGTTGAAGTGGACTGTTATGTGAATAAAATAGAACAATAAAATACTTAGTGTTCCATTTGAAAAATTTTAGAAAATCAAGTATGAACTTTCTAAAAATGATCGTCTTATAAAAAATGCCCTGTATAAAATACCGATATTAGCTAATATAGCAGTATTTAACTAATTTCCAAAATTCGAAGAATTTTCTACATAACTTGGCAACCCCGCACTAAAATGTTAAACTGTTTATATTCTATATATAGAATTTTCCCAGAAATCCATGTTTAAAAATATACAGAGTGTTCCATTTAAACTCATCACCCTATATGTTTCAAATTAATTTTGTCCTTTAGGTTTTTTAATTCTGTACAACTTTTATATAAACTTTTTTCTGTATTATGAATAACAAGGGAGTTATTTTACTTTCTCACACTAATGGCCCACCCTGTATATTTTTTATAGCTATTTTTCGAAAATTAATTGAAAAATTTTCAACAGTGTAATAACGAAGCTACAATATAAATATGTGAATTTTCGTATAAAATCTATGAAATTTGATTTCATTAGTATGTATTTAATGGAATGATATGTTTCTTATTACAAAACAAAAACTGATACTTAACAAAATTGTGGTCGTATTTTGTATATAAATTATAATCAAGAGTGCCACAATTGTATACGTTTTTAATATATCTTTTCCCGCGTAATAAAATCACAACTTTCTTAGGATACTTTTTTCGAGATATTTGTGTAAAAACATTTGGTTTTTGCTCTATTTTTAACTGGACTTGTACCACCAGCCGCTGAGGAATACTTTCGGGACACCTCGTATACTATGTTTTAATTTTTGTAATAAAAACAGAAATATCACATAAATTGTGGAATTCAATAAGCAAATTTTACTGCAACACAAATAATAAATATATATTTTTTTCAAAATTATACGACGTAGATTACATATAATTATATTCGTGATAGTTTTTCGCAATAGTATAATGATCTAAAAAATTAATAAAGATATTTTTATACTATCAAAACCATTTTTAATTTGTTTTGAAAGCCACATAAAAGTGAATAATAAATGTACGTACTTTACTAAATGCATGTAATTTTGAATGAACCCACCTGTGATACGTATTCACCTTGTCGTTTGCAGCCGTTTCTCCTTCCAGTGCGTGCTACAGTGAGACGGTAAACACTCTGCGATTTGGGCAACGGGCCAAACTCATCGTGTCCCATCCAGTAGTGAACGAGGACCCCAAAGAGAAGACTATTCGTGAATTAAGAGCGGAAATTGCCAGGCTGAAAGACCTCCTCAAACTTTCGCAGGTGAAAATTGAACAAATAATTAGAAATTAACGAGCATTCCATCACTTAACGATCTTGTTTTTTTTTTCAGTTGTCACCTCAAGAGCTTTCGATGTTGGAAGACGGCAATTCTCTTCTCACAAATGGAAAATCAGATGAAAAGCAGAGCAATCATAAAGAAATCTCTGGTAATGCTGATATCGAAGCGGAAAAGGAAATAAATGATTTACAATCTGAAGTAAACATTGAAAATGAGGAGATCAGAAAAAACTCCGTGTCAGAGCAGCTAAGTACTTCTGTGAGCAATCAGTCATTGTCTAACGATGACTGTGTCCTAGGTGATAGTGAAAATTTGTCAACTGAGACCATCTCCATCTCAGAAATAACAACAGAAAGGCTGTTCCCTCTTCTAAACGTATCCACTTCTGTAAAACCCTCAAGACCCACAAAACTAAGAAGAACGTTCAGTGTTGACCACTCTTACATCAACAAACAAAGGGAGAAAATGTTCGGTTCTGAGGAATCGATTCCTTCGACGAGCACCACCTCGAAGATATCCCAGAGTTCTTCTTCCCTAGAGAAGCAGAAATCTCAAGGATCCATTTCCAGGAGGAATCCAGGAAGCGCGACGCCATCTTCATTACTTCGTAGGCGTTCTCTGAATAAATCAAATCCGATGCTACCGAAAACACCCCCAAAAAGACGGTCCCTGGAAAATAATTCCCATAGAATTGAAAAGTCGACAACCACAGAAGGTTTAAATATGAAGAAAGTCGAACCCAAGGTAAACTCCATCCGAAAACAGCCCCTCAAGCCAAGATCCCAAATAGTAGCCGCTGTAACTAGTCGTTTGTACTCTAAAATTAACAGGAAAGAAGCTGCCACTAACACGGACGACCTCAACATACAAAAAACTCAAGCACCTAAAGAGAGTAATCCTAGCAATGCAAAATCCAGATTGAGAGATCTCACTAGAAGAGCTCTTAGAGCACACAGGCAAAAGAACGAACAAACACAGACTGACCTGTACGCAGTGTTACGTGTCAAGGAAATGTCCACCGACGTCGACGATTTAAAAGTATCGTTAAAGGAAGTCAAGCACGCAGAAACGGATACTGTCGTAATAAAAACCAAAGATGCTTCAGTGAACTGTACATTTTTAGACCAATTGTCCGATGACGAAAAAAGACACAACAATATATCCTTTACAAGAAGCTGTGGGACACAATCTTCCCAGGAAATTACCAACGCGAGTGATACTATTGAAAAGGAAAACACATCATCCGCGAGAAGCACCTCAAATCCGATATCATTTACCAAATACTTACGTGAGATGCAAGATCCCAAGTACGAACTATCTGACGTAATACCAAACGCTCCTATATATACCAAGACTGTAAACATTAACATATCCCATAATTACATCAACGACAACAGAAGCAACGGGAGCATATCGGAGGACAGTATCGAACAAAACCCTCAAAACGGTTGCTTGCCAACGCCCGATCTCATCAGTAATCACAACTCACTAGAGCAAGCTCACGATGATTCTGAACCCTCGGAATCAAAAGTTCGTCCTGACGTGGAGAAGATAAACTACGCCGACACGGGAGTGTTAGATGAATACTTTACTGTAAATGAAGGCACCGTGCCAACAAACGATAACAAAAAATGCACGGCAACAACGTACACAGTCAGTCCGAGCTGCGGAGAAAAAATCCACTCTGTTAACATAGAAAAAGTTCAAGTACCGGAAATTTGCCTGACGAATAAATTCGAGGAAGGCTACTGCAAGCCGCTTCCTAGATTTGTGCCAGACATGGCTAAACCTAAAATCGTGGAGTCCAGGTATTACACGTGCGACGACTGCATCAAACTGGAAGAACCTCTCGTGCTGAAATCTATAGTAAAACAGCTTCCCAAAGGTAATATTCTCAACGATAATAATCCAAGTTCTAGCGATGAGGATATCTTTAGCAGCGACGTCCCGGATTCCTTAGACTATCACATGACCAACACCAAAAAGGTGAAATTTAACAGGAAAAATTCAAAACGGTCGCCGGAAAATGGTAGGATGTTAAACGCTATGTCGGAATTCTTGGAGGAAGCGACAAATCTGATGAATAACCTGACAATGGCCGCCAGCAAGATAGGTAGCAATAATCTACAATTAGACGATTCCTATGAATTTGAGGTTACTGTAAATGGTGTCAGCGGTCTGGGCAAGACTCACAGGAAGAAGAGAAAGGCATCACGACCTATATCTGTCCCTAAAACTAAACAGACCGAAACCACAACAGGATTTACTTTTCCAAGTAGATCGCACTGTTCTACCCAATGCGGGATGGACCACTCATTTCCTATAAATAAGTATGAAGCACTGGTGGAAGAATCGTGTAAGCGATTGGAAGAGAAAATAAACAAAATTCCTTCGTCCTTCCAAAGTGCCCACGATGGAGAGGAGGTGGATCCGTACTTTACTTACAACCCCTGGCAGCCGCATTCTTTGGTAAATGATGTTGAGGATTCTAGCCTAGAGAGCAATCCAGTCACTTACTCTGACTACGGAAGCTTGCCGAGAAAAACTCACAAAAGACACAGGACTCCCACCTGCAGTCCAAGCGCTTTTTTGAAGCAACTGACAAATATGAGGAGACAGATCATAGAAACATCCAGAGAAGAGTTCCTTGGTGGTTCAAATAATCACTGAAACTAGTTTTCACGCATATGAGCAACAAAACAAACAGTATTGTCGGTTAAGGTTTATTATGGCAAATCTTATATTACTTATTACCAAGTCTTATCAAGAGAGTTACATTGGACAAGTTTTTACTAAAAGATAATAAGAAATGGAGTAGAAAACTGCAGTCAGAACATAGGTAATGCTGAGGTTAGACGATAATCAAATACTTATCTGAAAGATTAGTAAAACTTTTGCATTTTGGTATTTATCATACAATAAGATTTTAAAATGGTTAGATGTAGTTTCCATTTTATATAGAGTAATAGGAAAGGTATACACAAGTAATATTGTAAAGATCATTGGGCACACTAACTAGAATTAATTATCAGGATTGTAATATTTTTATATTTATTTATTGTAATTGATGTATTCTTAAGATATTTACAATAAAATGTAACATTTAATAACTAATTATTTTAAACTCTTTTCATTACATTTTTTCTAATATTGTTCCTCAGATAAAAATTGAATATTATTCGTATATAGGCACATTTATGATATATATTTCTTTTCCCAATTATTTTGATGGTGATACCAAAATGTGATGTTAACAAGACTGCAAAAAAAGTTAAAATTGATCATTTTAAAATTTACCGATGTTTCGAATAATCAATCGACCATTATTCTTTATACCTCTTTAAGGATAAAAATGGGACGCTGCTTTGGGCTACTATACACACGAAAATTAATTATTTCTCTTTACGGTGTTTAATGTCCACAACAATATTGCTAAAGCTTAAATAAAATATCTCCAGATTACTTTCCCTGTTCGGCGCTTTTAGCGCCTATAAAGTGGTGAAACGTTTCGCGATGGCACATTTCTACGTCAGAGAAACTTTACCACTCCGCGAAACATTAAACCATTGTACCAAAGCCACCAGAAATCTAGTGGAACAGGCGAAATTGCCATAATTAAAAGTTCTGGTGCCAGGCACCAATTTATGTCGCCTAATAATTATAATAGCCCATACTTAAAAACTACTCGGCAGATTTATTGTGTCTAAGTATAATCAGGCCGTAAACTCTTGCAGAACAGTTATAGGCACAGGCGTTTTACAAGGCGGTTGAACATGTTAATGAGGCTTTGCTTGTTTTATGGATTGTTGTAGTCGCCTATTTCTTGCATGAATAATATGGTGTTCTTCTGTAACCTGAGGCATTCTGCTTTTTATGCGCTATGTAAAGCATGATCGGTGACAGGACTCGCCAAGAAAATTCAGTTAAAATAAATTCGAAATATAACTGGTTGTATAATCATCTGACCAAGTTCTTACAAATATATTTTTTTCTTTAACAGGTCTAAATTAGAAGATTGATTTTACAAAAATTGCAGTTACTTTCAAACTAATGCAAAAAATTAAAGGGTCAAAAGAATTTCCGAAATTTTTACGTGAATTTTGACAGACTGTATTTAGGTGAAAAATGGTCGTATTGGGAATTAAAAAAAAAGCATTTTGAAGCTCTAAGATTCTAGTTTTTAGATCTTTCGTTCAAAATTTTTTAAAAAGGATCATTTTGTCTTCAATCATCGATATCTCGGTGACAAATGGTCGTACAGAGAATTGAAGGGCAGTTTCGAAAACTAATATAAATTTCCTATAACATGCTGGTGCAATTTTTCGGAAAAAAAAAATCATTTTTCATTTTCAAATTTTTTCATCTTTTACACGAATTTTAAAAAACGGGGGAAAATGGTAATTTATGGTTTTTTAGAAAATTGACGGCTAAATTAGAAATATTCACGAAATGACTAATGTTAAGCATGACTTTTACAGTTCGATATACCCAGAAGAACCCTATGGAGTTTCATCTCGATCTAGTGAACCGTTTCTTTGTTTCAAACAGTCAAATTTTTGAAAAAAATTAAAGGGTCACGTTTTTGTAAGCTTAAACACTTCTAAATCATGATTGGAAAAAAAAATGTTTTGAGGTTTTCTCACATTTTTACCGCAATTAACGTTTAAATTGATGAAAAAAAAATTAAAAAATTTTTTTCGTCAATTTAAACGTTATTTGTGGCAAAATGTGAGAAAACCTCAAAAGACATTTTTTTCCATTTTAATCATGATTATGAAAAGCTCAAAAAACGTGACCCTTTAATTTTTTTTCAAAAGTTTGACTGTTTGAAACAAAGAAATGGTTCGCTAGATCGAGATGAAACTCCACAAGGTTCTTCTGGGTATATCGAACTGTAAAAGTCATGCGTAACATTTTTTTCTGTCAAAACTCACGGAAAAATTTCAGAAATTCTTTTGACTCTTTAATTTTTTGCATTAGTGTATGTTCCAGTATTATTACTGAAAATTTTAAATTATAATTTCATGATAAAATATGTCGGACGTCTAAATTTTTTTATCTTTAATCTTAGTACTAGATGAATATGTTGTTTTCAAAATAACACGAACAATATATGTACATGTCTTTATTTCTTAAGAAGTATATTTTAAATATATTTGAGAATGAATTTAGTGTTACAAAAATACTTGTAGGTATACTACACATAACAGATACAATTTATTAGATACAATATTTAAACGTACAAACAATTATTAATACAGAAATAAAAGGCATGATTTTTATGTGAAATTCAAAGTTGTCTCCTAAAATTACAAAAAAAAATTACTGATCCGTATTTTAAGGGCATACGAGGTCTGTTCAGAAAATAACCTATAACTTATTTTTTTTAACTTATTAATTTTATACATTTATTGGTTTCTGCCACTCCCCTATTCACACACTTTTCTCAGCGCTGTTTCCATTTCGCGAAACTCCTGGATAGCTTCAGTTGAAAGGATCTCTAAAGTCTGTATTTAGGATAGTTAATTTAAATAATTAATATTAGTTCAGTTAGTAGTAAAATAGTTGCAACATAATTATTTAATCATTCTCGTTTGCTATAACTTTAATTGGCACCCAAACGAATTATTTGTCGCAACTGCGCACGACGAAGACCGAAAAAAGGTAGTAGTTGACTAAAATGTGTTGTGAGTACCAGGCCTGGTGGTGTTTTACTATTGTTATCTTTGAATGGAAAAATCGTTGTTGATCTACAATTGAAGACGAACCAGAAGACAGCCAGTGGCAAGTTGCGGCATAATTATTGTTTGTTTGGGTGTTCGCCTTACGACATTCTCGAATATACAGTCCACATCAAAATTGTGCAATTAACTTCGAGTTATACAGTATGTGACGAATTTGCTTTGATGTCAATAGGCGATTTGCACGCACTCAATCTTTGACTTTCTGATCGTACGAGTCATCAGTTGAAGTCGAAGGCTTTCCCGGTCGAGGATCATCTTCAGTTGACTGACGACCACTTTTAAATTGTGAAAATTATTCGTAACACTATGTACGACCCAGAGGATTATCTCCACGCATCGTTGTTCCAGAAAATCGAACATTCAAAAATCGTCACTAATACTTAAACACGTTGCACTGAAATAACAATATCGCGACTACTAAATGAAATATCAACAATCCGTGAACATGTAGTTACAGAGGAGATTATGCGCAATATAATGCTTCCCTATCGTATATTATTAAATGTCTTATTAAAGTTCGGTTATTTTCTGAACAGACCTCGTATATAAAAAATAGTAAGTAACATTTAAACCAATCTACAGTGGTGCAAAAATTTGTACCGGAAAAGAGTTGCATGCAAAAATATTAAAGGCAAATTCAAATACAATAAGATTTAACATATATTTAGGACTAAATTAACATGTCCAAGTTTAAGCAGAAATTCGTATTGGATAGAACTCTACTTTGCTTTCGACGATCATTACTATCACTTATACGACTCTACTGTACTTGTAAACGCACCGTCTAGAAGCGAAAAATTTGTTGTAGGAAAACACGTACAATCAGTAGAAGTAGAGTTGCGTGGATTAAAACAGCAGCAGAAATCATATTTATAATAAAAAATATGGATCAAAACCGCCCTGACAAAGTAAAGCAATGTCTCAGAAGAATTAAAGATTAAAACGGCAGTTATAAATGAAATAAGAGGAAGAAATGGAGTCGTATAGAGATTATGAAAAATATTGGTCAAAAGGGGATTGGAAAACGTGTCAATTAACATAGACCATACACAAACCATAAATAAATATGTAACATTAATGCTACTTCCAAATTTTATACCTATTAAATATATTGAAATTTGAAACCTACTGAAATTATTGGAACAGTATATTTATTTAACATTGTATTTTACAGAAAAAGTTACAAGGTGTTTTTGAAAGTAGAGTTTTAATTTTAAATTCCAAAATAGTGCATCCCATAAAAAAATGTTTAATAATAAATATATTTACATTTGAGGAGTTAATGAGATTTCTGACATTATATACATTCGTATCGCAAGAAAATCAATCACTACTTGCTGCAATTTCTAACAGTTTTTTAACGCTTTTTAATAACCACTCTTGTTCTGGTTATGGAGTTTTTGATGGATTAATGTTAATTTAGGTGTTAGTGTACACTTGTAGACATTAACGTTAAGTGCTTTACAAAACTTTTTTAGTGCCAAAATGGCACACAGATACGACATTACACTTATAGGCGACTGTTCAGATTAAAATCCACTTTCAAAAACACCCTGTATATTTCCTATCTACTACTGGGATGAAGAATAATAATTTTTACGTGTACTTACCTCTATTTTCCACAGTTACTGCATGCGAATAAACAAACTATTAAATAATCATATTTATTCGATTTTACCACTTAAAACTAATAATTCTATAAAATGATATAGAGATCACCACCAAACTTAGAACATATACTGCATGGAAGGAATCACCGCGTGTTAAAAAGTGTGGATGATATAAAGAGAAAGGGCGATAGTTTAGTATTCGCTCTCTCTCTTTCCCCTCCCCCCTCTCACCCCTCTTTCTCGCCCCTCTCCCTCCCTCCCCCCTCTCTCTCTCCCTCCCCCCTCTCCCTCTCCCCTTCTCCCCTTCTCACTCTCTCACCCTCCCTCCTCCCTTTCTTTCCCTCCATCCCTCCCTTTCTTTCCCTCCATTCCTCCCTTTCTTTCCCTTCCTCTCTCTATCTCTCTCTCTCTCTCTGTTTAGTCGTTGAGCATATACTACAGCCAGAAAGCGGAGGGAGTTGCGTTAGCCAATAACGTGCCTGCGCGTGAGAAAGATAGTACCCGAACCATCTCTCTCCCTTTCACGCGTCTGCACAGTCGCCGTAAGTATGCTTCCTGCATATAGTATATGCTCCAAGTAACAAGTCACCAACCGATTTTCAAATTTTTATTTATGAACACTATGAACTCTTAAAAATGATTTTACTATTAAGAGAGGCGTTTATATGCGCAATTTTTTGTCCTGCATATTAGAAAACTAAGCAAATTAGAAACAATATCTGGTACAATGGTACCAATTATAGAAGTGTTCTTCAGGGTGTATAAGACAACTGACAATACATTCCAAATAAGGAAAAAAGTATATTTTTACCTCACATGTTTATCTTATGTTTTCTAAATTTTGCACGCCTGTTGAACATACAGAAAATCACATACTATACAGTATACTACCTATAAACATAATCACACTCACAATGCTTTTATAGGAAACTATTAACACATACATTAATCATAATTATTAAATATATTTACAAATTTGCTGGCAAAAAACAGCAAAGGTACATTTTCTGATGTTTACATGTTCTCCGTGATCTTTCAATGCGAAAAATTAAAGGAAGTTGCTCTAGTTTAGCGTTACACTTTGTCACTTCCTGGATGGATCTACTTGTTCTATCATTGTCTTTCAAAAGGTGCGATTTCTTGTCTATAAAACGCCAGCCTTAAAACATTCTAAGATGTTTAGAATTGTTCTTTTATTAATTATTTCTTTTTAATTTCTAGTTGTACTATTTTAATTGAAATGTTGTATACTGCTAAATTTTATTCTAGAGTTCAAGGAATCAGTTATATCTAATTCAGTTACAAAAACGCAAAACCGAACGAAGGCTATTTAGGAGGATAGTAAATATGGTTCCAAATCGCCTTTATCGTATTTTAAACCTACCTTGCGGTTTGTTTAACGATTAAACCGATAGAGTAGCAATCAACTTTTGTATCTGATATTTAAATATGGAACTGTATCACCTACCTTCTGGATAGTACAGCAAACTCTTGATTTTGACATATCCTGTACCAGGAATTCGTAGTTCACAGTGTATCATATTCCCAGGATCTAAATTTGCTGCCAAAACAGAAGTTACTACAAACATGGAAATCCTTCCATTCGAATGTTTACTAATGTCCCATTGTATAATTGATAACCTCAATCTGAAAAGTGGGCGCAGACAAAAATAACAAATATTGAAAACAAAAAATAACCATTTACTTACCTATTAAATTCTTCAGTTTTATCTTTATACATCACAAGTTTAGGAGTTGGATACACCTCTGAAGCTAAGCATGTAAAATTTACTATGTCTCCATCAGAGCCACTTCTAACGAGTTCTAATGACCGTTCTGGCACTAAAATAAATAAACAAGCTAATGATTTGAGAAAGATCGATCTATAAGACCAAAGAGGATATGCAAATCGTATTTGTATATCCTCTTTGATAAGACTCTCTGCAGTTTGCCTGCATGTGCTTTTTCCATTACTCTGTTCCTTTCATTTGCTTGTGCATAAAGCTAGGATTTAAAACGGTTATTAGAGGTTTCGTCAAAAATTAGTTCTTTTTGTAAACAGTCAATTAAGATCTGAACACACATCAATAAGATGGGCATTGGACGATTATCTTCTACAGTTTTCTTCTTCTTCTAACGCTAATGCTAACAGTGTTTGTAAAATTTGAAAACATGTTTAGATACAGCACATATGAATATGAACACTCAGAGCAAACTGCCGTGAGTGTGCATACGGATCTCGTTACAATGTGACTTCAATGTCTACGGAACGGGAAATATAAGAAACCCGTAGGACACTCCTCTCGCAACCGCCTTGTGCCCGTCTTGTCGATATTTGACCTTATCATTTTCGAAATCATAAATCACAATGAAAGGAACACGGTACGTGTATATGTTTTGCCCACAAAGACTGCAATGCCAAAATTAAGCTCAAATAATTAACTATTTTTTCAAGATTGAAAAAAGATTAACGTTTATATCTATATCCTACACTTTAAAATCTTGTCCAAAGAATGAGGAAAAATATTACAACTAAGGTGATCTCCTCTCCCTAATCTTTACCTTTGTCGTTTTATAAATCTCTCCGAAAATAAAGTATAGGTTTAAGCGAAATATTCAGATGCATCTCTAAAATGATAATCTGACACAACTTACCGAATACGATCATGTTTTTGGTGCTGAAATCTTCATCTGTAAACGTTGAAACGAAGCATTTGTATTCCCCAGCAATATCGCTAGTTGGATTATCGATTTTAATTGCCCTGTATACACTTTTTGGATCGTCGGTGGCTCTATAATCGAGATCTGCTCTATCCTTTAACGGACCAAGCGTTTGTGGTTTTTGAGGTGGTATCCATTGGTATACCACGTCGTCGTTCAAGTACCATTTGACCACCAAGTCTGTATCGTCGGGTCGGACTGAATAATTACAATCTAGAATTACTGGGTTGTTTGAGTCGTTTTTCACAGCTGGTGGAACCTTTATATAATTTATTTGCACGCAGCATACTATACTGAAAACTATAAATTACATCAAGAATGAGCGTACACATACGTACAGGGTATTCAAAAAGTTTGGAACCCACCCTCTATCTCAGAAAATACTGCTCAAACAAAAAAATGATTAGGACAAAAGTTGCAGGGTTTTGAGTGAGCAATCCAACGGTGACATTGACCTTTAGGTCATGGTCAAAGTCATGGTATAGGTCATTTTTTAATTTTACGCACTCAATTTCCGCAGTCAAGAATATCGGGTCATTTATTAAAAATCGACTTGACCTGTAAACGACCTTGAAGGTCATGGCTAAGGTCATATCCGAACGTAAAAATTTCCATTTTTTCCATTTCTGGGGTCAAAAATATACCGTTATATTTAAAATTTTCAGGTTGACCTCTATATGACCTTGAAGGTCATGGTCAATGTCACATTCGAACGTAAAATTTTCCGCTCTTACCATTTCCGAGGTCAAAAGTATACGGTTCCATTTAAAATGTTCAACTTGACCTCTAAATGACCTTCGAGGTCATGGTCAAGGTCACCGTTGGATTGCCCACTCAAAACCCAGCAACTTTTGTCATAATCATGTTTTTGTTTGAGCAGTATTTTCTGTGATAGAGGAGGCCGGGGTTCCAAACTTTTTGAACAGCCTGTATATGCGCAGGCTGCCGTTTTTGCGCGACAAGGTGACTCAGTGGGGAATAATTATTTTAAAACAGACTAAACTTGTAGTATTTAGGGATCTGATCAGCAACAAAATAGTGATGATGGGTGAGAATTATGGGAAATTGGCAGTATGCGCAGTAGTCGCAGGTAGGTACATGTCTATCTTTCTCTTTATCAATCTATGCAAATGCCCTTTCGGCTTAAATACATAATAGGAAGTGTAGTGGAAAGCAACACATTAATTCTTATCTCAAATAAATTTTTCAACAGCAAATCAATAACAAAACAAAAAAGAAATTAGAATATCAATTTTTTATTACGCTTTCCATTGCTCCTGACATCATGCATAAATCATTACTTTTGCTGTACACACTGTTGCAGATTAATGATAAAACAATACACTTATGAAGACCTTCCAGAGAAAGCTTCTCTATAATTACCAAAACATTTTTTAACACGTGTTGTTACATACATAAAAACAGATGTTCAAAAGTACCTGCATTTAAAACATGAAACTAGAAAATAATTAGAATTTAATGTATATACTAATAAAATCCCAACTATAAAAGAGAAAGAAGTGGTAAAGCAGTAAAGCACATCATGCCATAACCTTCGCATACTAACATATGAGACGCGTGTGTAAATATAAATCCGTCAAAGTGTGCATTAAGCATGACATAATGCCCTTTCAAGTGTACTTAATACATTTAAAATAAACACATGTAAACACCTAATTTCACCGATTGGCAGATAAAAATATGATTACAGTTTTTATAATACATTGTTGTAATAAAACAAATATCATGTAATTCACTTTTTTGACCCTCTGAAGTATACCTCTTTTAAATTTTGTTTTCTTTTACTGAATTGATGTTAAAGATAAAGTTTGTTTTAATTATAACAACTGATAAATAAATACACTTACCTCCATGGAAATAAAAATATTGTGTGAAAATTATCATACTTTTACAATGGAAATTCACTTTAATTTTATTTTTATTTTACGATTTTGAGGATTTTAGTCAACGTTCAAGCGGCAATACATCAAGCCTCGAATACGTGAAGCGCTTGCGCACAATCACAAGGCACAGAACAGCATTGTATCGAAGATCATTATGCTGCGTTGGTGATCTCCTTGTAGAGATCATAGGTTTGTTTATTTGGTCCTATGATTAAATTAAAACAGATTATCACCTATTTGGTTTTCTGCTATTAATTAGCAGATATAACATAATTGCAATTCAATACTGCTGGATTAAATTTGATGCAAAAATTTTATTTTTCAACCTATTTATTGATTTTATAAAAAATCGGGTCCTTCATCCGTTGAAGAAATTCGCAATTTTTTTTGGAAAAATTAAATAATAGGCACAAAAGTTTGTTGTTTTAGAAATTTCATTGATTTGCCGAAATTCCCAAATTTTTTTCTTTGACATCACAACTCCATTACATAAATAACAAAATTTCTTTATTTTTGCTTTAGTTTGTTTTAGTTTTAGCCTCCAAGAGAAAAAACTGATTGGTGTAAAAGGTGTGTATAGTGTAGATGAAGGAAAAAAACGTAAACATAACATAACCCAAAACACAATTAATATTTTTTTCATAACCACTTACTTATATCTTATCGTGATCTTATCTATGATAACCACAAAAGTGGTTACAACATTGATTCACTAATAATTTTATTTTGATAAACTGATATTGTCGTTTGTTACTAAACTTTAAAAAAAAGTCTAGTAACAGAGCACAGATCTAATAGTTTACACGGTCTTTGGTTTAGAGAGAGGTATGGGATTAATTTTATACCATTTTCCCCCAAGTGGGCCATCCAGAGGAGCTCTGTTAGCTGCTAAAGCCATTGGTGCCGATGTAGATGTCCAAATTGTAAATTTATTTAAAAAAGAACAACTTAAAGAAGACTTTGTTAAGGTACTGAAAACATAAGATGTGTATTTCTAACTATAGAGTGAAAATCAAATTGTAGATTAATCCCCAACATACCGTTCCAACTTTAGTAGATGGTGACGTTTCTATATGGGACAGTCACGCAATTGGGACATATCTGGCAACAACCTACGGCAAAGATGAGACCTTGTACCCTAAAGACCCTAAACAAAGGGCTCTTATTGACCAACGATTGTATTTTGATTGTGGTACTTTATACCCTAGAATTAGAGCAATTTGTGTAAGTTTTACATCTGCAAAGAATTGTTGTCATCTTTGTATTTAGTTTCCAGTACTATTTCTAGGTGAAGATCAGATATATGACGAACATAAAGCCCCCTTAGAAGAGGCACTAGGATTCCTAGATGTCTTTCTGGAAGGGAATGAATTTGTAACAGGAAATAAATTGACTGTTGCAGATTGTTCCCTGGTTGCATCCACATCATCCATTGCTGTAAGTTTGGCAAATAGAATTATTTTTAAAATGTCGTAATTTTTGTTGTCTTGGAACTGCGATATTTATCAAATATTTTCTAGGCTATTGGTTGGGATTTGTCACCTTATTCAAATGTAGCTGCATGGGTGGCCAGATGTTCTTTAGCCATTCCGGGATATGCAGAATTCAATCAAACAGGTGCCGATGAATTCGGGAAACTAGTAAGGAGTAAGTTAGCCCCAGGGCAACTTTAAATATTACATGTTTATTCTTGAATAAAACTTTATTTTCTTACAAAACGAGTTATTCACAAGTGCATTAGTTAAATTCTTAGGTATAAAATTTATAAAAAGTCATAAAATATATATAAAAATAACCAGCACCGACATATCACAAGAATTAATAAATTAATAAAGATCTATACTGTAAAATAAATACTATGGTAAAAATTCGTGCAATAGAAGCATTAAGTACTTTGGTTTACTGTCATGAGTAACTACAGTGTAATACTGAAGCAGTGTAGTCTTAAACTCTACAAGAGATCATTTTCTAAAGACTAACGTCATTTCTTCGTAACGTTTGCGTTTGCATGCTGCTGAACATTTTCGGTAAGTTCTTTTCCTCTTGTTTCGATGGGCAATAGGAGGCAGCCTACCGCTGCTAAAATAGCTGCTACAGCGTACGTTGTTGTTGAAAGGGAAATTGAAGATTTTAATAACACCTAAAATAGTCATGTATGTAGCGATGCCAAAATATTACATTTTTATGAAACCTGCTTTTGTCGCCAATAAACTGGTGAGGACATAAAAATTTAGGTTTTCACAATTTTTCTGTAAATCTAAATAATTTGGCTTCGCTACGTTAATCGATACCTTTGATTGATGTCACTTTTTATATTTCATATCAGTTGACGTCCACAACTATGCTACAGACTCAGTTAGTTCATGTCTGTTTTTACTTCACAACACATGCATTCTGTCTGATTATTTATCAAAATTCAAAAATAGTAAATAAATCAAACCACGATTTTTACACTTTCTGTGCACACTTGAAATATTCTATTTTTACAATTTCAATTCTCCATTTGTCAGTTTAGTTGTTTCCTTTTTTGTCATATGCGAGCAAGTGGAGAAAATGTGTTATTTTCTATTTGAGTTAATTCAATGCATTTTTAAAAATGTAATTATATGTGTTAATAACCAATCGTTAACAATCAGGGTAGTCGTAAATGAGTAAATTTTACGAAATGTTTATCATGCATCAAGTAATTGATTACGTGAAGTATTTGCAGAAGCAAAATAAAATGACATCTTTAAAAAATTACACCTTTCATCCGAAAATAAGTTTAAAACTGCATTTAAGTCGACAAACAAACTATTTTTTATAATCGGTGACCATGTTTTTTTAATACCTGTGCCACATCTTTAAAAAATTACACTTTTCATCCGAAAATAAGTTTAAAACTGCATTTAAGTCGACAAACAAACTATTTTTTATAATCGGTGACCATGTTTTTTTAATACCTGTGCCACATATGGTGTAACCATCGCTCCAAATCTAGCCATTGCGCTACAAGATCCAACTCCAACTGCTCTTAGCGAAGTAGGATACACCTCAGGGGTATAAACGTAAGCTGCTTGGAATACACCAGCTATTATACCACGAGCAAAAAATAGCATGATTGTCAGAAAAACTCGCCTACAAAGAATTTTTCAAGATTAATGTACTTAAGAAAAATGGTAAATGTTTACTTACTTTTTAGTGCAAACCATTAAGAAACAACAACAAATTGCGTAAATAACAAATTGCACAGCCATCGTTTTCTTTCTTCCAAATCTTTCGATAATGAATATAGTAATAAAGATTCCTAAAAAAATAATAAATGAATCGACTTTAATTGGCATTAAATAAAGTGCATCAAAAACCTGGAAATTCTGCCAATGTTGTCCAAAGTAAATCCATATAATCGGTAGTTTGCAACTGACGACAGTCCGCTGCACACGTATCTAAAGTTTGTGTAGGCACCGGCTCCTCAGAGCAGATTATCGCAGCCGTTTCAAATAATTCTGTCGTCATCAAAACCAGTCCGTAATAACAAAACGCGCACGCCATCCTAAAATGTATGACCATAGGAATACATGTAATATATTAATATAATTAATTACCATATAAACCACAACAACAGAGATGTCATTCTTAAAGAAGGGACCAACAAATCTTTAAATCTCCCTCTATGAGGAGAAGACGTCATGGAATCGTCCACAACCAAACGGCCCAACAACATAGGCTTCCCGTTATCTTTTGCTATTTTCTCCAAAGTTTCCAATGCTTTCTCTGTTTGTCCACTAGCGACATGAAATCTTGCAGATTCTGGCAACCACTGTGGATGCAACAATTTGATAACAATATCAGTAATGACTTCTTTAAATACTCACGGGACATATCAATGCAAAAGCCAGTAACGGACCTGTGGATAGAGCTAATAACCAATGCCAACCTAATGTTGGCATAACTATTAATGCTAGAGTCACTTCAAAGCATGCGCCAAGCGCCCAAAAACACTGGAATGTGAGAAACATAAATAAAAAGACAAAAGTGCTTCAAGTGAAACTTACATCAAGCAAAACAACACATTTAGCTCTTTGTTTGGTGGGCAAAAATTCAGCGTACAAAGTCACACTAAAATAAAACAATAAAGCAAAATCAAAATTGTTTTCTTACTACCTAAATACCATTGCAATAACATTTTTTAAAATTATATCCATTGTGCTAAAAATTGCTATTGCCTAATAAATACTCACAGTATAGTTATGAGAATGATAACAAAACAGTATTGAGACTGTTACTTACGATTGTGGAGTACATCCAATTGCAAAACCTACTAGCCCTCTTAAAAGTAAAATCCACATAAAACTTGGAGCAATTGCACTTAATAGACCATAATAAAATAATAACACAGCACATAGTGTTAAGGCCTATAATTCAAATACCGACATAAATATCTTGGTGTTTTATCACATTGCATATAATTTACCTGTTTCCTGCCATACCTATCACTCAAGTTGCCCCAAAAGGTAGATGATAACATCATTCCTAAGAATACTACAGTTGTAGTTAAAGCTTGCTGATATCTAAAAAGTATACAAATATTCACATTTAAGTGGTTTTCCAGACTATTTTATTTCAGCTTCAGGATGATCTCAAACGGTATTCACCTTGAAATATGCCAGTCACAATGTAAGGCTGGCGAAAGAATAGACAAAATAGTCATTTCCATACTATCAGCCATCCAACACAATCCTGTCCAAAGTGACAATTTTACTTGAAACCATCCAAATCCTAGGGCGTTCACAGCTTGCGTAACTGTAAATGTATCTAAAAAGCAGAAATCCTATATCATATGAAAACTGATTTTTCTACAAGTTACATTACCATCAGGTACAACTGAAACAGAAGCCATTTCAATTTCTTGAGGTATAACTACATCAGGATCTACAAGCTCATTAGTAGAAGCAGATGGATTAGACACACTGGCCCCACTGCCCCCATCTATATCTTGGTAACCCTTAGTCCGCTTTAGTACCATATTGTTTATCGTTGTAAGACTTATTTTTTACTTATAATTTAAAATATATTGTTTACGTGGAATTAACATTATTCTAACCTAATTTCTCAAACGTCATTGCGTTGCGGTTACTGTGTATTATTTAGCTGCTTTCCAATTGCCAAGGAACTGCTCCTAAATTGTTCTTCTAATGTTCAACTCTTTAATTACTCCAAACTTAAGTAACTGGAACACCTCCGAAAAAAAGCATTTAAATAATTTTCAAACACTTTTTAATTTTAATGTTGTGAGCCAATACCAGTTTAATATAAATTTCACTTATTAAAGAACAGTGGCAGTAAATAATAATCATAATGAAACGTCTATAAAAATCCTAACTCCACATTGTGTGGAAGCAATTAGAGAATTTAGGCTGGTATTCATAGTTGTTCCTTGTGATTTGAGGGTGACTTATTTTGAATAATTTGTTTCATAGTGAATTTTCAATGTTTCAAAGGACGACAAATCATTCCTTATCTCAAGGCATGTCCGGATGTCCCTTGAGGTATGCTTTTACTCTTATAACCTATACATTTATGTGCCTATCAGATGTATTAGTAGCTACAGTTAAAGAAAATGGAAAATGACGAATTTTATGAGGATGTGGATGATGATGTTATAAATATACTAATTCCACGTTTTCCTAAGAGATATTTAAGAAACTATGAAAACCCATTGGAATTTTACGATGAATGCCAGTTTCAGAGAAGATATAGATTTTCTAAAGATAGTACAATACATATATTATTTCCTTTAGTAGAAACGACACTGCAAACTGTTAATAATCGTGGTTTGCCTATACCACCTTTGTTACAACTTTTAACAGGCCTTCGGTTTTATGCTACAGGTAGTTTTCAGGTAAGAACAAGTACTGATTTTGACTATAAATATATTTTTCATTTGGTTTTCAACATTTTTCTATTTCAGCTGGTATGTGGGGATCTACGTGGGATAAGCCAAGCGACAGTATGCAGAATTATTAGAAAAATTTCTATACATTTTGCAGAACTACTAGGTGAATATATAAAATTTCCTCAAAATATGGAACAACAGCGGGCAAATATTGCTTTGTTCTTTAATATTGCTGGATTTCCATCGGTTGCAGGGTGTGTGGATGGTACGCACATTCCAATTGCTAGTCCAGGAGGCAACAACGCAGAAGTGTACCGAAATAGGAAGGGTTACTTTTCCCTAAATGTACAGGTAATACCTGTATTTGTTTCTTCAGCAATTAGGTACATAAATATTAAATATGAATTTCGTTGTAGGTCATTGCTGGACCTAGAAGAGAAATATTAGATATTGTAGTTCGTCACCCAGGGTCCACCCATGACAGTGTAATTTTTGATAGAAGTTCTGCACGTGTACGTTTTGAATTACGAGAAATACAAGGATTACTATTGGGTGATAATGGTTATCCTCACGCCCTTACCTTATGACACCTTTGCTGAATCCAAATACTAATTCAGAAGTTCGATATAATAATGCACATAAGTCTACAAGAAATATTGTTGAAAGAGTTTTTGGGAGCTGGAAAAAAATCTTTCCCTGTATTCATTTTCCTTTAAGAACTAAAATAGACACTTCTTTAGCAGTTATTTGTGCTACTGCTGTTCTTTACAATCTTTGTATCAGGTACAGATTGAATGTAGAGGATGAGATTGAGGATGTACAAGATGAAGATATCCCTGTTGTTAATTATAACGATGGGAATGCAGTTGGAGTTGCATTTAGAAGGGCATTTATTATAACACATTTTTAAATATTATTATTATTAAGTTAAATTTAGATTGTACAAGAATTTTTTTATATTATATAAATAATAAAATAGCAAAACTACCGTTGCCTAATTTATAAATATAGAACATATCCTATAAACAAATACTATTTTCAAAAAAGTTAGCATTGTATGTACACAAGCTTGGTTATATTGTGGAATTTATAAAATTAATATACCTATATGGTGAATCAGAAGCACTTAAACCATTAAAAAAACAAGGTAGTCAAAATATATGTTTATTATACATAAAAAAATGTAAAAAGATAAGTAAAAATATATTATTTGTAACTACAAAAATAAACGGAAACAAAAACTTGGTATACCACAAAAGAATTATTTATGTAACAAATTAATTCTGAACATTGTGTTCTGCAAGAAGTGTTTTGAGAATAGCTAATTTGACTTCTTCCTCAGCCACTTTCATGCGCTTTTCGTGCAGTTCCCTTTGCTGTTCGATAGATTCTTTTAACTTTTGAATCCTTAACTTGGTTTCTTCTTCACATACACAACGTTGACAAGATTTTTGTAATCTCTTTACTTTTTCAATTTTTCTAGTAGGTGTCGATGATGTGGTAGGTGGTGTCTCATTATGTCTTATATTTGTTATCTGAATCTCATCAATATTTTCTTTATTAGCAGTATTACTTTTTGTATTTGGTTCAACACATGACATTAGATTTTTAGCTTCAAATACACTAGTACTATCCCATGAACATTCCAGTTGGACATCTGCATTTGGTGCTATGATGTCAACAAATTCCAACACTGGGTCTACTGATTTTTTCATAGGAGGTCCACCTCCAGTTAATAACCTCTCGTGTCTCATTTCTGTAGAAATTTTGCGTTTTCTAAAAAATAATGATTTGTAAATTA